TGATACAGCTTTTAAAAAATTACCAGTAAAAGAAAGTAAACATTTAAAATAACAGCAGTTTGGGTGGGATTCTACAGAAGATGGTCAGTCATGTGATTCTTGTTTGCTTGTGAAATTTTCATTCTGCAAGGGGCTATTCCATCAATATCTGCTTGCATTTTCATTCAGATACCAGACATTTTCATTTAGTGAAAAAAAAATTTAGTTGTGAGGGGATGATAATATTTTTGTGCATTACTTGATCAAATTTAAAATGGCCGCCCCAAATGTAAAAAAAAGGCACTAAACAAATATAAGCCCAAAATTACTTCTGACCAGTTTAAACATCTCAGTATCTGAAAACTTTAGTGTAGTCAAAATATTTATGAACAACAAGAGATCTACAAGGAAAAACATTCAAATAACTAACAGTTGTTCATATTAATTAATTTTAATACTTTTTCAACCACATCAGTTTTGATGTGTATGTATGAAATTGGATCAGAATTTGATAGATATACAAGACAATTTGGAAAATCTTTTACTTTGACATGTTATGCAAATTATCTGGTGTCATTAGAAAAACAATTTTATTTTAGAAAACAATATCTTCCTTAATGAGACAAAATGAGAACATTATGTAGGTAAACACTTGATTTTAATTTGAAGCATTTGTATACCAACACAACCTTAAATTTTAACCTGGAAAATTTTGTTTTAATTACAGAAAGAAATAATATAAAAAAAAAAATTAAATTCACTCAGATGAAGAGGTACTGAAAATATGATTTATGAGTCCCCTAAAATTAACATATGACTGGACTCACCTGCTTTATAAACAAATTAATATATGACAGGACTTACCTGCCTTTACTACTGAAACAATGTGGATTATGTAAATCTTCAAAAAAAGTAAATAAAAATAAAAACTAATTTGTAATTAATTGAAATCCTATTTTTATAACAATACAGTTCAAATAACAATCAAGTATTCACAGCTAAGAACTGCCATGCCACAGACACTGCATCAAACCATCCCATTGTCTTTGTATTACATTAGCAATATGGGAGTTTCACTTAGACAGCTTCTTCTTACAAACAGCTATTTTGCAGAATAGACTCCCAAGAGTATGCTTTCCCAACGAATACAATCTTAACCTGTTCAAGTCTAGGGTTATCCATTATCTTTCCTACGTATCTTCATAAATTGCACTTCTTACATAATTCAGTAACCTTCTAGATTGAGTGGCTTGTGGGCCTTGCATAGGGTAAAGAGAGAAAAAAAGAGAAAGAAAAAAGAAAGAGGAAAAGAAAAAGAAAAGGAGAAAAAAAAAGAAAAGATAAAAGAGTCGAAATAGAAAAATGAAAGAGAAAAAAGAAAAAAGAAAAAATGGAAAAAGAAGCAACAAGAGAAAGAAAAAAAGAAATGAAAGAGAAAAGAAAAAAAAAGACCACAAATTTAGGCATTTCTACCATTTCCTTTATATATTATCCCATAACTTTTAACAATGTTTTTTTTTTTGACATTTTTGCAATATTCCACTTTCATTTATCTATAAAGATGAGAACACAATATCACTCTCAAAAAACTATTTTAAATTGGAAGTCATTTTAACATCCAGATTACCTGTCAAGATGGATCACAAAGTCTATAGCCAGACAATTACTTGCTGAATTTTGATCTGAAATTGTCACTGTATAATATTTAATCTATATGATTAATATGACTAATCATTGAAGTAAGTGCATAGACAAAAGAAATGATGTTGAAGATTAAATACTTGTGTAAAATGTGTTTGTTTTTATTATTTGGCTGTGAACATATTGCTGTACCTACTAAAGTTTCTTTTATATTTTTCTTGATACTGGATTATATTCATCTTTAGATATATATGATAAAAGGACATTGTTTAAGAAATGACAAAAATATTTTTCAATAATGACATCTAGGGAATCATTTGCTTATCTGAGCATAGAAAACAAAAAGAATATTGAAAATTCTCCCAGAACATACAGCCTAATTATTGAGACCAGTTAGTAAATAGTTTCATGTAAAAATTTTGTTTTCTTTAGATCTTAACGAACAAGACCTATTTCATAAAAAGAACCAGTTAATATGATAGTGAATATTTACAGTTAGTAAATATTTCTTTTACGCTAAAAATATACAAGCCAATACTGTCAAGTCAGATATTATATAGTTCAAGAATTTTAGAATCTTAAAGAAATGGCTGGAATATTTCATGGAAATAGTCCAAGTAAAGATCACCTTTAAATTTTATTATTGAAAATAAAAAAGTATCAATCATTCAACAATAGTTTTAAAGGGAGAAAAAAAAACATTTTGAATAGCTTTAATATTTAGAGTAATAAACAATTTTTGTTCTAAATTAAGGTTCAATAAAGACTTCCAGAAGAAATAAAAATCTTGCCATATAAAACAATTATTTCAAGCCTGTTCACATTTTAGTGAAAAATAAATCAATACATAATTGGCTCATAATTCAAGGGACGCAACCTCTAATTTGCAAATAACTTGGCAATAAACATTAAATTTATCTGACAGAATTGAATTTTAAGTGTTACATATTTTCTGGTTATGCATGAGTTTTATAGGTATGAAAAAAAAAAAAAAAAAATCAAAAAGCACCATGATGTAGAAAGACCCCACCCACTCACACAAAAAAGTTAATCTTGCCATTCCCAACGACTGGTTTTGTAATATGCAAGTTCATTAATGCAACTGAAAATCACCTCCATTTCAAGTGGAAGTTTCACTTATATTCAAAAAATAAATAAATATTTAGGTTTATCAAAATATAAATAATATAATCAAATTTTCTAGAATCATCTTAGGTGTGGAATCTTTATTCATATATTATAGAGTTTATAGTTTTTATTTATTTCTACTAAAAGTAACAATAAAGAATATTAAAAAAAATGTTTAATAAAAATATATAAACAAAGTTGCTGGATTTGAACTCCAGATTTTTTTGTCAATTCTTGTGAATTTACCAAAGTTGGCATCAAGAAAAACAAAAGACATGAAAACTGTTGCCTATTTTTACTTGTTTCTTTTAACAAAAGCTGAAAAAAAAAAAAAAAAAAAAATATTAGAAAACTCATCTCTTCTTCATCTTTCATCAAGCTGATACTTTAAAAAAAATGTACATTGGTATAAAATATGCTGCGTATGCGTTTGTGTGATGTCCCTTCAGGCTATGGACAATCATGGTTCTCTATAGTTTTGTTTTTTGTTGCTTCCAGCAATATTTACTTCTTTGCTCTTATCATATTTATTCCTCCATCCATTTGTTCAAGTTACTAAAACTCCATTCTCTTTGATGTATCCAGTTAGACATGCCTAGTGGTTTTTCATCTGGTATCTCCAACATTCTGTTGCTTTCTGATTGTTAACATCAGTTTCTTTATAGTTTGTATTCTTCTTAAAATGAAAACAGGACATTTTAAGTATTTTCTAAGTTTAGCATAATTTGGCACAAGGCCACACATGATAATCAAACTCAGTAATATAGTAATAACCTGTAATATACGCGTAAATAGAAAATAATATGAAATTATTTTTCCTTGATCTTGTAGGGAAATTATTAATAAATATATATAAAAAAAAATAATATAATAATGAATATCATAAAACCAAAAAGGAAAAAGTTTTCCCAGGATGCAACAAACATTTCCTGCCTAAAAATGGACTTTACACCAAAAGACTGAATCCATTCTCTTTGCTAACGACCATTGAAAAATCAAGATATCCACCTCCTCTCCTTGGTACATTCATAATATGAAATGATTTCTTCCTATATCACATGCAACCATAAAATACTAGTAACCAAAAACACACACACACACGCACACACACACAAGTACACAAAAATAAATCTAAGTAAACTGCATTATTTTAATTTACAATTTAACATGCTTTTAGTGTTATTTCTGTGTATGTTTTTATTCCTGTGAACACAAGGCTATTGCTGCTGGTATGATTTGAGTGACCCCACCATCTCTACAGAGGTCATCAAGTAATACTTTGTAACTAACAAAGAAAAAAGATCAGGATCAAGTTTTAATCAATAATTTTTATCAACAATAAACAGCTTATCATATCTTAATAAATAAATATACAATATTTTTCATACTTAATTAAACCCAAATTCATTTGATTATTATTTAAAATCATTAAATAAAAATAGTTTAAAAGTTTATATGGTAACAATAAAATATTGCATCTAATAATTTAAAAAAATAAAACAGTTCTTTTATTCACAAGTAATTAAATCTGTACTCCACAAAATCCTAGTATCTTTTTTTTTTCTTTTTTTAAACCTTCCGGTGAGAAAACAAATTATATGTAACATAACGCAATCAGTTTTCTTGGTGAAAATAAACATTTCTAAAAATGTATTTTAATCTTTGCATCTACAGAGACACCTCCACAAACCTATTAGTAATTATAAAATTTCTAGCATTTCAAGATTTTGGCTTGCCAATTTTTTTTATTTTAATTGTAACAGATTCTTCTTAATCAGCAAACCTGTTTATCAAATGATAGAATTTCTGAGCTGTATTGTTTATAACTTTGAGAAAATCCATTAACATGACAAATTTTATATTTGGACAAGTGAACTTACCAACATCAAGAACATAAAGGAATTCCATTGTCACAACAAAATTAGTTTCTGAACAGTTTAACATGACACAGAGCAGTAGATGTATTGAATTGCAAGTTCCAAATTCAATATAAAAATTAAACTAAAATATACATTTTAAATTTTTATTAGAAAATATATATAACATGACACTTGATCAAAAGTCCTAATAGCAAATGATTAGAAAAAAAAAAACAAGGCAACATTTTCTCATTTCATTTTCTTTACAAATATTTTGTTTATTTACTTAGGACTTTACAGTTCAGTAAATGGTTTTGAATAATAAATTCATTCTCCATATTTTAACCATGACTTCTGTCAAATTTGTTTACATTTCATGAACCTGTCCAATGCCTAATTGTCTGGTAAACTTTCTGTTAAGGTAGTTAGTGTGGGCACTGGAGTTGGGGATGGAGTATCACTGTCATGTGTAGGAGTGGCATCATTTTCATCTACCTGCTCCTCTTCAGCTGCATGTTGACTAGAGTCATCATCCATGGGCATGTGTCTGCTAGCTTGAGCCTGCAGTGGTCTGGCACTTCTGTGAATGTTATGAATTGGTTCATCAGTGGTTATTTCTGTGGCTATTGGTACTGCAACTACAGCTGATTTTAATGGCAGATTAATTGGCTCTTCATCTCCAGAGTCTCGTCCATCATCAAAAGACCTTGTGGTTACCTTAAGACATAATTCTGGACTTGGAACATTGGTTAATACTTGAGTAGTAACAGATTCTTCATCAGTGGCAGCAACTGGGGGTTTGGCCTGTAACACAGAAAAATAGAAGTATATTTGAATATGATTAGTAACATGAATCTGAAGATAATGCTTGGGTTTTTGAAAACCTTTTTAAACCTGTGAGCAGGCTTACAGATCAAATATAATAATATAACTAAAAGAAAAACAGATATTCATTTGCTTGACTGTATAGAAATGGTGGCTTAAAGAATAAAGTGGTTAAAATAATCTGTTTATATTCAATAGAATCACATCTAATGAAAGTGGCTAAAAGAGTTTCTGATGATTGTTCCTGTTATCAACCAAATATTGTGTTGAACTGATTTTGATGTTAAAATAGCAAAAGACAAAAAGGTATGTGGTGTTAACAATATATAGAGGCTTCTTGTCACTATGTATTACAAAATTTTGAAGGTACATTAGTTTCATATTTACACATTAAATTTTTTTTTTTTTTTTTTTTTTTAACATACATATCTTTAATTTCCATGGTGCTCTGTTAAAAATATCTCATTTAAAAGAAAAAAAATTCATTTACCACAGGAGGTGCAACAGGTTCCTTTTTATCCTTTTCTGCAGTTACAGCAGGTTCAACTGGATCTTTCTCCAGCACATTCATAATTGCTTTTGGAATATGTGCTCTCTACAAATAAAATCAAATTATGCTGAAGAACTTTTTCATGTAACCTTTTAAGGAGAGATTAATTTAAAATAATTACTGTTAATTTATCTAAACCACCCATAATTAACAAGTGAAAAGGTGGTGACAGTTAATGTTGCAAATATTAGAAGACTCAAGTTTGGCATTCTGTTTTTAAACAAAACTAATAAGTTTTCAAATATTACTCCAAATGACATGTAACAAGCATCAAATTTTTACTTTTTTTAATTATAATACAATTTGGCTTCAAATTTTTCAAAGGTTAAGGAATTGAAAAATCAGAAAACTCGCAAACTAATATGTTGAGTGAATCTTTCTTTTTGTTTCTTGCACAGATAATGCTATATTTTCTATTAAAATTTATGCCTAATCAGATTTTTGAGCTAACTATATATTTTATATCGCAAAAATTGAATTAAGTACAAATTTTCATTATTTCATATATTAATTCCTTTTTGTTAACTACTTTGCTTCGGACATTCAGAACTTAAAAATCATTAATTGGATTTTTGTCTATAAATCACAAACCAAGCTTTCCCAATATGAAACTATCTCAAAATGTACACATTATACTTTATTGCTAATGCAAAAATGGCCACCAACCTGATGTGGTGTGAATTGCTGTACATGATGCAGAAGTGGTTCTCGTAGATCAGGGCTGATTTCAAAGACGTTACGTAATTGCGGTGCTGGAAGTTGCAGAAGTACCTGGAAGGATTGTGTTTTTGTTCTTTGGCAACACCTGATGAAACCTTCCCAAACTCTTTTTTGCTTCCACACCTGCAGAAACAGATTATTTTTTTCAAAAGATAAAAATGTTATAAATGTCAAAGATTGTCATGATAACTTTATCATTAAAAAACAAATACAAATACTTCTTTCATAAGACCAAAATAAAAATAAAAAATACTACCTAGGTTTTGTTTTAATACCATTTTAAGGTACTATTTTTATAATTACGAAAGAATGGAGATACAAAGTGTTATTTGAATCTATTCAACTTCATAATAATTGGGAAATCTTAAAAATTAAAAATGTCATGTAAGAAAAATGAAAGAAGTCAAAAATATCTTAGTCATTAAGAATATCTTCTGAAAACAAAATAAGCATATATAATAAATGTCAATTGTAATAAAACAAATAGTAAACTTTAAAATTAAGAAATATCTGTATCTGGATTTTAAATTATTTTTTTTATTTTATTTATTATTTTATTTTTAAATTATAATTTTCAGCTGAACAGGAAGCATTAATAAACTAAAAGAAAAAAATTATCTACTTAAAAGACTTCCTTTATTTCTGAAAAGATGCAAACATCAGATTCTTAACAGGAACAAAGGCAGCCTTTGAAAGGAAATTTACATAAAATATCTTAGGACAATAAATCTAAATTCCATCTGAATTTTCAAATATATTTCTTCATTGAAAAAATTTATAAATATTTTGGTCTACATAGGATTTTCTTTGTTTCAAAGCCCAAAGATAAATATTTGGTAAGTATGACTGTAATCACTTAAGTTAATGTTTACACTCTTGCAGTAAAAGAAGGATCAAAAGAAAAAAAAAAAAGAAAGAAAATAAGAAAGTCAAGTAAAATATTGAATCAAACTCTAAGACTAGAGAAAAACAGATTAAATAGTGAAATCAAAAATAAATCAAACATCAAAGATATTCATTCAGAAATGAATGAAGATCAAACTAATGTTTTAATGCCATATTTAATGTTAAAACAATATAGAAAAAAAGAACAACTTACTCTAATTATAAAGAGCAATACAAATACAAAAGAATTTATATCTATGTTTTATAGATTATTGTTTTAACCTAGGTAAGGTTACTGAATAGAATAATCACACAAAAGTTGATAATGAATGATAATACTTAAAACAAGAACAACACATATAAGATTTGCTAGTGATGTGTAGAAGTAATCAACTGCTAGAAGTGAGTTAAGTGAATTCCACAATGAATCTCCAACTGCAGGATATCTACCAACCACCCCACACGGTCAGATGTGGCACAAGGCCAAATTTAATGTGGGGCATCTGAGCCCATAGGCTCAGCCAAAAATTCCTCATAGACCCCGTATAAAACAGCATCAGGTAGCTGTTTCCCAGTGATGAGAGACTGCCTTTTAACATAGCTTTGTCTGGGGATCCTCTCTGCCTCCAGGCAGAGAGTTTGACCAGCACAGCTGGAGATGAATCTCCAACTGCAGACAACATACAGTATTTACTACTGTATTTATGTGAATGGGGACATACCCATTATTGTCTGTAGGTATGCTACATTAATTATGCAAAAGCATTTGATAAGATATGAAACATGAACAATTTGAACTGCTAGGAAAGTTTGATTTATTTAGAAAATATATATTAGAATAATCTAGAACTTTGAGCAAACCACCTGCATAAGGATAGAAAATGAAAATACACAATATATTAAAATAGTATATAAATATACTATAATAGAAAGAGGTCTAAAACAGTGAGGCAATCATGAGAGACTATAAGTCCTACCAGGATTTATTATTAAATGGATAGTAGATACAGAAAGGAAAGTACAGGAGCTCCTAGAGATGGTCGTAAAAGAAAACAAGATGGATTAAAAATCAATTGAAAGAAAACAAAATGTATAGTTACTAGCAAGAGGAGCTACAAGTTGGAGATACCAAAATCAAGCAAGTATGAAAATTTAAATATTTGCGAAATATTTTAACAGAGAATGTAAAATGTGACACTAAAATCCCAAAGGTGCATAGGTATAATGAAAAATACCTTCCAATAGCTAAGCAAAGTATTAAGAAACAGGAAAAAGAAAAAGAAAAAAAAAAAAAAAAAGAAAAAAAAAAAAAAAAAAAAAAAGAAAAAAAAAAAAAAAAAAAAAAAAAAAAAAAAAAAAAAAAAAAAAAAAAAGAAAAAAAAAAAAAAAAAAAAAAAAAAAAGAAAAAAGAAAAAAAAGAAAAAAAAAAAAAGAAAAAAAAAAAAAAAAAAAAAAAAAAAAAAGAAAAAAAAAAGAAAAAGAAAAAAAAAAAAAAAAAAAAAGAAAAAAGAAAAAAAAAAAAAAAAAAAAAGAAAAAAAAAAAAAAAAAAAGAAAAAGAAAAAAAAAAAAGAAAGAGAAAAAAGGAAAAAAAAAAAAAGAGGAAAAAAAAAAAAAAGAGGAAGAAAAAAAGAGGAAGAAAAAAAGAGGAAGAAAAAAAGAGGAAGAAAAAAAGAGGAAGAAAAAAAGAGGAAGAAAAAAAGAGGAAGAAAAAAAGAGGAAGAAAAAAAGAGGAAGAAAAAAAGAGGAAGAAAAAAAAGGAAAAAAAAGAGGAAAAAAAAAAAAAAAAAAAGAAAAAAAAAAAAAAAAAAAAAAAAAAAAAAAAAAAAAAAAAAGAGTGCTGAACTGTTACATAATGTCAGCCCTCCTATATGGCAGTGAATGCCACAAAGATAAAGAAAAGACTTCAGGCAACAGAAATGTGGTTTTACAGAAGGATGCTGAGAATACTATGGACTGAACATGCGAGTCACAAGGAAGTTTTAAGGAAAATGGAAACAAAAAGGACATTTCTACTTAAAATCAGAAAGAGACAGTTAAAATTTCTAAGATACATAATGAGGAAAGAGAGCTTGGAGAATTTGACACTTACAAGACATACTGAAGGCAAGAGAGAGAGGAAAGCAGTGAGTAACCTACCAGACAAGCTTGTGAAAACAGATGATAGAACAGGGACTAAGAGGGATGATGAAAACACAAACCTTACAAAGATGTACAAGGAATAGGAAGTTGTGGAGAGCCATGATCGTTCATATCATGAAGGGACATGGCATACAGAAGAAGAATATTTGAGGGTTGCTTTTCTCAAATTATTTCAATCCAGCTTGAACAATTTTTCATAAAATTTCTACCATCCAATTATAGATGATGCTATACAAGTTATAAAAAAAAAAAAAAAACTATTCATGCAATTTACATTGTTCAGACCGTTATTCTCATCTTTGTTGTCATATTCATAACATTTCGGTAGTTGTCTGCTCCAGCCATCTTCCCAAAAGACACATGGCCCAATGGATAAAAGTATTGGTTGAAGTAACCCAGTGACTTGATCCAAAGAATTGCGAGTTCAATACCTGGCCACAGAGGTGAACAAAAACTTGGAAAGTTAACTGAGATATCCAGAAAAGACACAGCACATGTAATGAACAACATACCCCCATGTGGACTAAAAGGGTTTGGTTCGAAATTTCAACATATATTACCTGAAGATGACTAGAATGTACAACAGCAGAAAAATTGTGAATATGACAAACAAGATGAGGATAACAGTCCCAACAATGTAACTAGTGTAAATAGTTACAATACCTCGACTCAGAAATCTAGACAAATGACTATGTTTTTTAGGTTTATTTTTTTTGTGTCTTGTAATCATGAAATCAAAAAGCCTTGTAAAAATTCATAACTTGAATTAAGTATTTAATATAGAAAATCACTATTTTTTTCATTATTATCACAAAATAATTTGATTGCTATATAAGAAATAACAATGGAGAAGAAGGATTTGGATATTGATTACCTGGTTGGTAATGAGCCTTTGCAAAATATTCATAACAAAGCCAATCAGTTTTGGATACATGGACAATGACTGAAGAACAGTTCTCATTAACAAAGTGGGTAGCGGATTTTGTTCCATCAGTTGCTGCATCACAACAGCCAGGACTTCTTGGGTATAGACATTTTTCTCACTAAAGCAAAGATTTGTAGCTGAAACATAGGAATCCATCTTTTTAGTCAATTCATGAAGATCTTTCAAAGTCATACATTTTTCTAAGATTTTCTAATTTAAAAATATAAGGAAAACTGTTCAGTAATATTGTTTGATGTTACAACAATATTAAATCATTTTGATAGTTTGTGTATTCAATTTACATGTAAATTTTACTGTTTGTTTTTTCATTTTGAAATTCATAGAGTAAAAATACTTTTATTTGCCTGAACAAAAATAAATAAATAAAAGGGGTCAAGGATATTTTTAGGCTTTAATGAATTTGGAGAAAGCATTTTTCCATTCACTAAAAGTAAATAATTTTACAAAAAGTTACATTCTAGTGTTTCTCACATGAAAATACCAATTAAAAATAGTCAACCTTTTAAAGTTAGAAACACCTAAATGCACCTTAAATTTTCCCATGCTTACAGTTCAGGAGCACATGAATCCACCTGCAATTAGGTAGCACAGTATTTCAACACCCATTACATAATTGACTTGAGGTGCTAGAAATTAGAACCTTAGGATTTCCAAAACTATATCTTATAACTAGTAATACCAAGGAGGTTAAATTTGTTATCATTTGAAAGAGAAATCAATTTGTAATATGTTATTTTCAATCGTTTTAAGGCATATTAATTTACTTACACTAACATTACATATTCAGATTTGGTCAGGATTCCAGGGATTTAACAATTGAAATATTGTTGCTAAAAAATAATTTATTCACCTGGGTCTTAATTTACACTTTAATCATAAATGAACTGTCATTAATATTCTAAATGCTTACTCAGTACTTACCCTTGATGATGGTTTTCATGTCACACTTAGTTGGATCAATATTATGGAGAGCTATCAATAATTCAGCAGGAGTCAAAGGCAATGTGTAAGAAGCATCACTGTTAGCTAAATAAAATGAAAAGTCAATACATTTTATATATGATAAAAAGAATGTTTAAATACTAATTTAGCATATATTAAAAAAAAAAAAAAAAAAAAAAACTATCAGTTTTTGAAACATACTTCTATCACTGCTTCACATTTGCAATAACTGACTGTGTACAGATATTAATTCTATAGCAAGTTTGATTTAATATCAAAACTATATAAGACCATTTTTTTCAAAAATATCATTTAAGACAGGGGTTGGCAATCTTTCAGAGAGAGCAGACCAGACAGTTATGCAGTAACTCAAAAGAGAGCCATGATATCAAATTTACTATAATAAATTGTCTCAACTTCAGACCACTGCATTCAGAAGGCTGCCTTGGTATGGCGTTTTAAAAAAACAAAACAAAAAAAAAACAACAAAGTTAATATTATATTATTTAAACAAGGTTCCTTACTTTACTGCAGTAATAACAGGATAACAACACAATCCAAACAAAAACAAAAAAAAAAAAAAAAAAAAAAAAAAAAAAAAAAAGAATCCAAATTCTTTACTACAAATTATTTCATGTTACTTGTTTCTGCTTGTTTGATAACTTCTCCACATTAAATGAAATATTTGTTGATGACAGGAGCCAAACTTCATCCAGGTGGTAACCACCCAACCTTGTTCTTAAACAACTTTTAGTAAATTTTCGATAAAAAATTGTTCATAAGTACTTCCAAATAATGATACCATCATTTTCGTATTATTCAATAGGCTTTTATAGTTTATACTTGGCAAAACAGATTTCTTGGAGACGTCAGCAGTGGATTTAGAATGAAATTTTGTTTTAAAAAATTTTAAGTCTATTAACTCCAACTGATATTTTTCTGCAATTGCTCCACAAATTAATTAGATAATTAGTGTCCAGGTGTTAAGTTGATAGGCCGGACAAAAAAACCTTTGCAGGGGGCTGAGGGTTGTCAACCCCTGATTTAAGAGATCAAAAAGGAGAAGTAGAAAGACCACAAGAGTGGATCTTGTTTACAAAATAAAAAAAAAACTGGATAAAGATAACTTAGAATTTCTTTTATCTATTAAAGACATGAAAGTAGTGTAATAAACAAATGCCAAGCATGGAATTGATGAAATGAGTTCAAATTCAGGGTTAATCTGTTAAATTCACTTTCACACAAATGCCCTTGGGAAAGGACATATATCCATGTATTCTCCTTCCATCTATGGGTTAAATAGTAGGATAGATTAAGTCCTCTAAGAGAAGGAAATCTTTGAATTCCAAACCATAGAGTAGAAAACTGGAAACCATTATCTTTCCAAAAAATGCATGGCAATTCATATTATAACAGAAAAGGAATATGTGGAGAGTCATAATCACTTGTGTCCTGAAGGAACACGATATTAAATATTATTTTACTAGAATTTTTCTGTTAATGAAGTTCCTTTATATATTTTACATAAATGTTTTTTTTTTCCTAAATATGTCCTAATTCTTTATATTACATATTTTTATAATAAAACTGCTTTTCTTTTTATTATCATTAAACCTATTTATCAAAAACTTGAACACTTAACAAATAAGTATTGTGTGTATAGAGTGATAGTTAACAACTTTTGCAAGTCATTTTCAACAGGGTTCAGTCCTCACTGTTCTAGATAAAGTTAATAAATTACTTATAGGGAAAGAAAGAACTTACCGTGACCACCAAGTAACCTATTGAATACCTCTTTAACAACAATTGGATTTAATTTAATTAATTTTGGTAAAGCTGCCAAAACTTCTTTCTGTAAAGAAAAATAAACATTTTAAGTCATTTAACAAAGATTTAGTTTTTAAGTGAAGTCTTTGAAATGTAATTATTTCGCAATAGTTTTTATCAATGAAGATTTAAGTGTGTATAAAAAAAAAGGAAGGAACATAAATTATTTTTTAGACGAAGATGACAAGACAAAGAAAATTGTTATCTATAAAACTGACCAGCCCACAAAAAGATACACAAAAGGGATGAAGTGAGTGTTGGAGAATGGACAGAGCAGACTGCTGTTGGAATTGTGCACATCTTCCTCATGTCTATTTTGCTGGCTTATAGCAGAAGGTTACAACCCAAGAATAAAATCTGGTTTACTGCTAGAAATTGTTTTGTTTTTCACCCATGGCTAATGATCTGACCAAAAGATCATTTTTAAACTACAAGCATTTGACTGGAAGAAAGTGCATCCTGTCAATGAAATATCCCATCATCCAGTTGTTAGTGTCACTACAGTCTAGATTTGAATTCCTGCAATTTCTGATGTAGAGCAATGGTGATCAAGTTAATCTCACAGGACATTGCAAGTGAGTTCATTCCTTATTAGTTGACTATTATTTTGCTTAGTCCTGGGTATGACGATAAACTACATCTGGCAGCAAGGACTTCAATTGGCAGATTGGAGGTTTTTAGGAGCATAGAACCACCTTTTAATTGATGTTGTTCCCAGGTCCACCCTGATTTGCAGTGGTAGCAACTGTTAGGCTCCCCAGCTATAGACAAATAGTTAACCCCCAAACAAAAACAAAACACTATGAAAGTATAAAAATATATTTTTATAATAAAAATGCCAGCAATACATTTTTCTATAAAAAAAAATTACCAATAATATATATATATATATATATATATATATATATATATATATATATATATATATAGTAAAATGACCAACAATACACTTAAAAGCAAACTGACCAACAGTACATTTTTAAAGCATAATGACTAACAATATATTTTATCTGTAGTTGAAGGTATACAATTGCGTTCAAAATATATTTTGTTAAAACCATAAAATTGTGTTCAAAATATCTAGATTTCAGCATTAAATAACCTAGAGATTGATTTGCTGCTAAACAAAACCAACCATTTTGCTCATATGCCACAAATAAATAAAATTTTAAGTAAATATCGAACTCAAATACTATTTCCCATTATGATGGATTAGAGATGAGACTATTTTTTTCTTTTTTTAAAAACATCACACCAGAATTCTTCAAAAACTAATTAATGCCTATTTGGCAAAATAAAGATGAAATCTATTCAAATCCAGAAATCTAAACAGATTCCAGTTTAGAAGAAAAGTGTAATTTTTCTTTTAAATATAGCAAGCATGAATATGTCATGTATAGAAAGGCACTATTTCATGATATTCATAAATATACCGCTTCGAAGTGTACCTTTATCAAATAATTTAGAATTTTGCTTTTGAGATCGTTTACAACATAAATATTGGAAGGTGAATAACGTGAAGTATGAAAAATTATTAAAACAATTTATAAGCAAATTCGTTTTAATTCCCTTTTTCGTTTTTTAACTATTATTGATAAGAGGATTGACAGAAAAAACTGCTTCTTAAAGCAGTGAGTGACTGCCCTACATTTGTAAAGAGGAAAATGTCATATATATATATATATATATATATATATATATATATATGCTTCTTAAAACAGCGAGTGACCCGTCCTACATTTATAAAGAGGAAAATGTCATATATATATATAAGATTCAACTCTAATGTGCAAATAGAAACTTACCTTTTGTAGCCCTGTTAAGACAGGAATTAAGAATCGAACATCAGGAACTCTCTTGTGATAAAGATCACGAACTCGTTCTACAAGTTCTGGAGAAGGTGCAGCTGAAATAATCACAAAAGAAAATGTAATGTATTATTTGTACAGTATATGGCTGGTCACATTCAATGTCTCGAAAACCATACTAGTGATGTTCCATCATCCATGAGCCAACTCGGAACTTTCACCAATCGCAATTGACAAATGTTTTCTCAGGGTGACCCATAGAGCCTTATGGGCACAAACTCAACTCAGACCTCAAGTGGAACTCATACATACAATCCATTGCTAAAGATACTTCAAAAATAGTAGTTTCTCTGCATTGCTCTCATAAGTACCTGACTTCTCTTGCTGTCCTCTACCTTTACAAGAGCCAAATCAGATTGAAAGTGGAACTCTGCTGCCATATATGGACAGGAGCTACCCTGTCTTTACTTTCCAGTCTTGATAAAGTCCAAAAGAATCTCTGTGTCTTTGTGGGTGATAAATCAGTTTTCACCTTGCAATCCCTTTCTCACAAACTAAATGTTATAAAGTTTTGCCGTTCTATTGCTAAAGTGTTCAGATAAACTACATTTTTTAGTTCCACCAGTTCTAACTTTCACATTTGAGACCACTATACCACGCACATTCTAGCAAACCACCTTCATCCCTTCATAATCCATTGGTGAAAGGCAACTTGAGCAACTTCTTCCCAGAAACTGTTGCTTTGTGGAACTGACTCCCTAGAAGATGCTTCCCCAATCACTACAATCTTCACCTGTTCAAGTCTAGAGTCAACCGTTATCTTTCCTACATATCCCCATAAATTATGCATACCTCTTACTCTGAAACTCTCTTTCTTGAGTGGCTCTTGGGTAAACATCATTGTAAAAAAAAAAAAAAAAATTCTCTTATCTATCTATATATATAAAATTCTGTGACTTCCATCCAGCCAACACAACCGCTAAAATAGCCATACACTGACTAATCGAAACCAAATTTTGAGGAGAAGTTCAAACAAGTAAGGGGGTACAAAGTAAGTTGATTTTAGTAGGATGTGTAGCATAGTACAATAAATTTTCATTATTTTTTTTTTTTTGAAAAATTAAAAGTTTTATTACTTAACATACAAAATACTCTATTTTATAAACAATTTAATGATTAAAATAACAAATACTTATTAAAAATTCAATATTGTTCTTTGCATATCTTTTCTTTAAGTATATATAAATTAGTTTTATGTTGCATGCTCTAGATTAAGAAATCCTAAGAATTTATTCTTTGCTGTTAAAGAGGAAAAAAGAAATTCTCTTAAAAAATATTGTTTATCATGAAGTTCTATAAAATTAAATTATATGAAAGAAATTATTAGACCATGAAGCAGGGTTTTCGTCAAAGTATTTATCCTAACAGATGAGCTTATTCAAATTTCATCAGTGTGTTGCAAAAAAAAAAAAAAAAAAAAAATCATTCTAATAGTCTAAATTGTCAACACTCATGACACAGAGTCCTTTCAAAATGTGGGCAATTATGGCTCTCCACAATTTTCTGTCCTTTGTAACTCTTAGCAATGTTTGCTTCTTTTTCAGGTTCTTTCCATTTCTTAACTAGACATTCATTTTATTAGATAGCTTACTTGCTGTTTCCCTCTTGCCTTCAATATGTCCTGTGAGTGTCAAATTTTCCAAGTCCTCTTTCCAAATTATATGTCCTGGAAATAAGCTATCCACAAGAAGGTTACTTCTAAAATAGTTTTCATTAAAAGTTGTCATATAATCAATGATAGATCAAGAGAGAAAATAATGAAGAGTCTTACTTTTATCTGTGAGAATATGAATGACTCTGGTAACAAGTGTTTCTGCTCCTTTTGGACAATTTTCAACTAGCAACAGAAGTTCAGGTGATTCCATTCCCATACCACGTACCTGCATGCAAAAAAAGAAATTTCTCAAATAATGTCTCAAGAATGAGATCAATCAAAAGAAGCCATTCTGTAATATCAATCAATTGAAACCTTAAGCCTCTTCATCACCCATTGTTCTAGACTGAAGAGTTATTTGTACGGACGTGTTTATAAGAGGTTCTATTGACATACTCTCAACCAAAAAGAAGCTTTATAAATAAATGAATAATAAATAATTTTAAATATTGTTAATATATTCAATTATTATAAAGGATAAACAAAGTAGCATCAGTTTTATTAATACAGACAAAATAGAGTATGTACATTAAAGGTTTGTGCATACATTATTCAATTATATAAATAAAAGCAGTTGAAATGATTATTACAAAGTGACTGGCTTCAATAAGAGTTGCACAAAGTGTGGCTTGTGATGCCTTTAAAAAAAATATTATTTTGCTACAATGTTTCATAGATTTTCTGCTATTATTAATGAAGAATCTTTATTTTTAAATTCAGATATTTACAATATTCACTCATAGCAGATTTCAGCATAAATTTTATTCTAGCATTTACAAAGAAATTAATCTATAAAAACTACAATAAGTATTCATAACACTATTTTAAAGAATACTTTTTAAATGATGATAAATAGTATAATAATGTTAATTTTAAAAATATAAAAATTTGGAATCTTTATTCATATTAAAAATAGACTGTATATGCAATAAGGTATTTATATACAATAAATGACATATCTTGATTTATCTATTCAAAATGATTAATTTCTTAGCAATGTACAGAAAAATTACACCTGATTTTGATAGCAATTATTAAGTTATTTCAATATTATATGAGGAGATGATATTATCAATATTGTAGTCAACAACTTAGGAATATAAATTGCCAACAACTTAATGCATATTAAATTCAGAGAAGCAAGACTACTGACTGGACTTTCCAATACACGTAGAATAGTTCTTTTGATATCTGCTGATGTCGCAGTGTACACTGTAGCCAACCTGTAATTAAAAAAACAAAAAAACAAAAAGAAAATTTTAAGTTAAACTATAGCAACCCCCAAAAATAATATTAAATTAATATTTTGAACTTGAAAATATCCTTATAAAATTTTCCTGCAGATATATTTCAAGCATATAACTATTTTGTGATGTCAGTTTCCGATGAAATTTTATTTGTATCATACTTAGAAAGGTGCTTCAAACAGCTATGAAATGTTTTATTCAAGAAATGAAAAAGACTTTAATGTCATTTCTATAAAAAAAAAAAAATTATCTTTCTCACTTTCCATCATTTATAGGATTTTTATTTCAGTAGCTTCTCCAATCCACCATGATTCTTAGCATTTTTCTCTTTTTTTTTTTTTAGTGAAAGTAGTAAGAGTAACTAATTTTTTATTTATAGCCAGAGTAACTAATTCATTAAGAATTGATCTTAGACTTATAGTAACATTTGAATAAGTTTGGTAGTAGGTTTATCTTCAATTAGTTACTATTTTTTGTGACTTTAGATAATGCATCTAAATAGGAAAACTTAAAGGAATATATCTATTCAAAACAAATTAATGCTAATTTATTAAAACAAAATTTATCAACACTCATTCAATCTAATGATTACATATGACACAGTAAATACAAAAAGTAAAATAGAAAATAAGATGATGTCAATATATTAGATTTAGCCTGTGAATACACATAATGAATTAATAATTCATAAAGTTGATCATTTATTATTTATTTATGATCTGCTAAAAATCAATGTAAATATATTAACTTTAAAGAGTGTAGAAAGGCACATTTTGGTTCTCATCATAGAAAATTTGTAATAGTTTAAACAAAAGTTGTTCACAGTGTTATTAAAAAATGAAAACCATTATTAATAAGATTAGTGGTTAAAAGTGGAAACTGATTACAAAACTTTTTTTTTTACCTAAAATTGTTTAAACAGCTTTAGCATTTAATCTTTTTGCATTTGAAAATTAATAAGAAAAGGATTTTCAATAATCAGGATGTAATGCAGGCAAAACAGGGCTATTATTCTATACAAAAATTTCAATAACAGCAGTCAGTTCAATTTATAAAATAAAATATAAATGCTACTAATTTGGCTAATTTAAAATTTTATAATCATTTACTTGAAGATTTTCATATTAAACTTTGTACATCTTATTTGGGATAGTTCATTACATAATAAAATTTATAGAAAATATAATAAAGAAACATTGGCAATGTTTCATCTTTGGACCCCCCCCCTCACCCCCAAATAAAATAAAAAAAATAATAGTATGTCAAAAGGACCATTTTTTCTCTTGGCACTGCTATTAATGTATACTCCCTTTATTATTTTAATAAGCTATGTTTAGAATTTCAATAACAAAAATTATACACACTATTTAGTTGTTAGATCTTTATTTACAAGATTATAAAAATGTGGACCAACTTCAATGCAATATTTATCATGTAACATTTTATAAAGAAATAAATAAAATGATTTTAATTTATAAACATTTACAAAATTATAAAAATATGTGAACCAACTACAATGAAATATTTACCATTTTATAAAATATTTATTTATTTCTCATTTTATGAAGAAATAAATATGAAAATGGATTTTTCTTTATAAATTTATAGAACGTCTGAACAAGAAAATTTAAATATACATATAATGATGAATAACTGTAATTATAAATTTTGTAAAAATGCATTTTTATGGATATTTCTTTTATTTGCTCTCGCCACATATAAATTCACTAAAATAGGTTGGTTGGTTGATTTTGTTTAGCAGTATATTGACCTCTATGGGATAATTAATGCCAAAATCTAAATATTTTGAATGCAATTGCATGCCTTCAACTACAGATAAAATGTATTTTGGGTCATTTTGCTATAAAATGTATTGTTGGTAATTCTACTATAAAAATGTATCGCTGTTCATTTGATTATAAAAATGTATTTTTATACTTTCATAGTGTTGCTTTTATTTAGATATTCACCATTTGCCCATAGCTGGGACCCTAACAAGTGCTACCACCCTCGGTTGGAATAGACCTGGGAATAACAGCAATTAAGGTGGTTCCACACTCAAAATCTCCATTAGAGTCCTTGCTGCCAGATGAAATTTATCGTCATAACCAGGAATAACTAAAATAAGATGAGAGCATCTCTTCCTCTAAACAAAACTTTTTAATGTTAGATTTGAGGCAAGACCACAATCATTCAATATTTTGAGCATGTATCTCCCTATGTATTGGATGGACAAGGTTTTTCTTGTGTATAATGACAGAATGTTTGTCATTTTTACCAGGTATTTCTATTGATTTAGTCATCCTTGATCATGATTATATATAAAAAAAAAAAATTAAAATTAAAAAAAGAAAAACATTTTCAAAATTAAAACAAGAAGTAATCTGAGAAAAAATGTCTAGAAAAAAGTTTATTTAAATTTTCTTGTTTATAGTTCAGCCATTTTTTAATAAAAAGATCTGTTTTCATATTTCTTTATAAAATGGAAAATAGTACATATTGCATTGTAGTTTATTCATATAGATTCTATATGTACAAGATTATAAAAGCTAACAATTAAAACCTATGAAATTTCCATTCTTATTAAAATTCTAAACATAGCTTTTGAAAACAAACATTGCTGAGGAAGTCAAGGAAGTATAGAGTAATAGTGATGTCAAGAGGGAAAAAAAAATGTCTTTTTGATGCACTGATTTTTTGATGGCCGACAGAGAAGTTAAATATTTTTATAAGTAGCAGATAAAATTAGTACCAGATTAATTTAGTGAAAGAATGTTAAGTGGATAAGAAATGAATCAATACTTACTCATGGATCAATTTGTGGTTGCTAGGTAACAGACCAAGATAAAGATAAAGACACAGTTTAATGCAATCTTCCACCCACACTTCTGGTGGTTCTATTGATTTGAAGAAGAAAAAAAAAGAAAAAAAAATGTAACAGTAATGATTTGACCAAATCCCACTTAAAGAGAAAAAAAAATCAGATAAAGTATTAAGAGTTTTTATTCCTAGGGACAGCTGGAGCTGGTCCATTTTTAAAACTATGGAGCAAAAAAAAAAGAAAACAAATCAATCAGCTGTTGTCTATTTGAATCAAGAAATATTTGTTCTTTTTTTTATCATTATTTACCACATTTATATTCTGAAAGACTTAATTAAAAAAAATATAAACTATTTTATGTAGTTTCATAAGAAATTAATTCTATCTTTTCACTTCAAAAGAACTAACAATTTTGCACCATTAGAATCACATCAAATAAAATTACATCTATGTTTAACTATGAAAAGTTTTCAATTTAACATCAAGAGTAAAGTATTTTACTTTCATGTATTATTTAGAGATTTTACTCAATAACAAAATTTATAATGAAATACCATCATGGAAAATTACAAGAAACCTAACTTTTTTATGAATTCTAAATATCCAAGTCTAATACAATAATAAAATAATCTAAGTTTGATGCAACTTTTCACAGAGAAGCAACCTTGTGAGTGATTGGACTAAGCTAAAACTTGGAAATAGGTTTACAGTAAAATCAAAAGAAACAAATCCAGGAGAGAGAATAGACAAAGTAAACTTACCAGTTTTTAATCTTGTACCAGAGAACAATTCAATAGGAGGTTTGGGGGCAAGAAGGTATTTTAAGTAAGTAAGCGCATGACCCTTAAAATAAAATTAAAAAGATATTTTTTGAATTCTATCACAGAATATAAACCAACAATCTGCAGACAAATAACAACTCTGATGGACAACAATATTTCATTAAAAATAACAATCTATCTTCCTATAAATGTTTATCCCTCCCTTAGCACAACTGTTACACCCTGACAATAAATAATGGACTATTCTATTTTGATCGCATGTAAAGATGGAAAAGACATATCAGAGAAGCTACTAGGCTTCAGTGAGAAAATGAAAAAAAGAAAGGATAGAAATGTTTAATGTCTGTTTCAGTGAAAGGGAAAAAACATTGTCACTTTCAAAGCTTTTCATTTGTACCCCTTCTTTAAATAACAACCAGCATTCATATGATTGTTATTGCAATGTTTTGTTTAAGTTGTCAAGTTCAAATATTTAATGATGCAATGGGGGAATTTCTATGGATATTTTATTGTCATAGAACTTGCCATGAGCTTATTCATTCACCTTAAGAATTAAAATTCATAAGATTCAAATAGGAAAGCTATGAAATTTTCACAGGTTATTTCTAGTATCTAGAACATTTTGAACATGATCATATTAATGTTTATATTAATGATCATATCAAGATGTAGTAGAATATATTTTTTTAAAATATGAGTATCAGTGCTAATAGCTTTATAAATTAGATTATAATGAAATTACTTCTAAATCTTTAAAATAACGACAGTAAGTCAGTGGTTAATTTTTAACAATGTTTCAACTAGTGTAAAAAGGATTATGGGTAATATTCATCTCAATTAAGAATTAACTTTATCTTTCCAATACATAACCCTAACCCCATTAATGGTATTTTTTCTTTAATATTTAATAAAAGAACAGTGTTACTAATCTGCTGCTCCATGATCTTAAGTTTGAGGATGGAGAAGATAGATATAAAAACATTGTGGAGAGAATGAGGCCAAATAGAAAAGCTTTTACAGACAATATATTTCACCTCCTTCTTCTAGTCGTCCTCAGATCAGAATAAAAGACAAACTGTGTGTAAAATGTGTTTGAATTTTTGAGGAAGGGGTAATAAATAACCTTATCAGATATTATGTTCAAAAAGTGTTTTTCTTTTATTCTCATATTGAAACTGTTAATTAAGTCCACTCCAAGTAGATCTCAGACTTTTTTCTCTATTAGTTCATATACTGCTTTGTGCTACAATTGCTTTTGTGATGATATTGTGCATGAATCTGGTCTAAAGTTGACTGTGACAAATTGTGAAATCAGTGCACTTTCAATGCATTTTCTTCTTAGGGAATCTTTTAATATTCTAATCAGACTGGCATTTATTAGGTTGAAATTGTGGCAAAATTTGTTATGGCCACAATTTATACAGACAGACAAAAGCTGCAACATGTAATTGAGAACAAATAATATAAACAAAAAAGATATACAATAGAAAAAAATCGTTTATGCTCAATTTAGAAAAAGTTTATTTGATAAATCTTGATGTGACCTCAGAAGTAACTGCATGCCCAAACCAGGTGATGCACTGTCATCTTGGACATTACATTCCCAATGGCTGCTTTCAACAGGTCCTTGGTATGCAGGGGCCATTGGTTAAAATCAGGAGAGCTGGTAGTCCACATGTTAGAGTGGGAGTGGCAATATGATTGTGAAAATTCTGTTAGTTATCCTTGGCCATGTTGGAGGAATCAAAACCCTGCTGAAATATGTACAGGCACCCCCTTGATCTGAGGTTTGACCACTATGCCTAGCACCTGAATGAAGAAGTTGGCATGACATAACTCTCCTTGCTCTCAATCTCAAGGATGATGAGAACTGTGTGAGGTTCAACACAAAGTCACCTGTCATTTCTCTTTCAAGAAGTTGACTATCTATGATCTATGAGTTTTTGCAATTGTCTTTAAGAGAGCAAGTCACTCTTAAAATATAAAAATACACACAAGAAATCTACAAGCAAAGCACATTTTTCATTCCCTTTATCACACCAGAAGCTTCTATGCCAATGTTCTTGAGACATCTGAGAAATGAGTATTAAAATTTGGTTCATGCAAGGTGCCATTATGTTAGGTCATTTTACATTCATCACCAGCCAAATGTGTTCTGTCAAATAATTTGAACACTGTGTGTTTATATCAGGAAAAACAAGCAATTGAACATTAATTATAACTTACCTCAATTGATTTTCTAAGGTCATCTCTTTCATATAATTTTTTTATAACCCGAATAGCATGATTCCGCACCTATAAGTAAAATATAGACAAGCAGAAAAGGAAACTGAAAGTTATTAAAACAGTTTCTCTAAAGTGAATAATTAACAATTTTAGATTTGGATTTAAAATTGTTTTGGAAGACATTCAACTAGGAAATGTTCAAAACGTAGACCCATATAAAAATATTTCATTTAACGTAAAAGAGATTAAATCTATTTACACAAATTTTGAGGCAATATATTTAAAAAGAGTAATTTGCTGTTAAGATACTCTATAAAAAAATCCTTAAAAATAATTTATGAAATTTCAGTATTATCAACTAACTTTAAAAGATAAATCATTGAAACTGATATCATTTAAAATTGTCATTATTTTGCATTTATTTTATTATAAAATGATTAACAACATATTTTTGATAAATTGTTAATAAAAGAATAACATCAATTAATTTAAGTATAGTAAAGATAAATTATTATAGATTTTGATAGCATTCTTTTTACTTTTAATATGATTTATTTAATAATAAAACATTAATGCTAAAATACATTGAGAAAATGAAATGCAATGGAAGTTCAAATACAAGCAAAAATGAAAATTATAATTTTACAAAATGTTTAAACTAAACGATAAATAACTGAAAATTATGCAAGAAAATTTAAGCTTCTATTTCAAGTTATCCTTAATAAATAATATCTTGCCAACTTAATAATAATAATATATATATATATATATATATATATATATATATATATATATATATATATATATATATAATGTGTGCATACCTCTAATTTGTCATGTGAAGCAAACTCCAGCAACAGAAGCAAATATTTTGGACGATGGTGTGGTCTGGCCAAGATCATTTCTTGCAAGGTTCCCATGCCAACATGAACGCGATTCTAGAGGAAGACAGATTGAAAATATCAAAATATTCTTAAAAATTTATGAACAATAAATAAAAAAAAAATTATATTAATAAAATGATGTGATATAATAGAGGCTCTCTTTATGCTAGCTAGGATTTTACAAGCCAGCAGTAGATGAGTAACTTTAGGAAGGTTAAAAATTTAAACAAATTCCCACATCCCAACCACCCAATCATTATGATATGTATAACTAAAACACATCAACATATTTAATGAAGTTTAAGGTAGAACAATTTCAAGATGACTGATAAGCCTACTTATGTCCCTGACACAATGGGTCATCATGCAAAACTTCTAGACCTCTTTTCCATAGCCTGCACTGAAAAATGATCGCCTGAAGGGTTACCTCCCTTGGTCACAGCAGAACATTCACTGATCAATGCTTTTCATAGGATGATCTTTTAGTATACCAAAACTGACTGGGTCACCTTCAAATCTAACATTATGGAAACTCCCCTTTCAGCTTTCTTAAAAAAAATAGAGCTTATGGAAATAAGGAAGGCAAAATAGAATCTTTCAGGCATGGAAAGTTTTATCCCACATAGCCAGCCTTGATTAATGCCAGAATGTTCTGGAGCCATAGCCAACTGCAGCCACCACTATGATCTCTACTACAGAGAAAAGTGCAGTAGGACTCTTATTACTTTCAGAACTGCCTGCAATCATTGCAAGAGTCTTCTAGAAAGAGCAGCTATGCACAGTCAATCCAAACCAAGGTTGAAAACAAGACTTGATTCCTGTGAGTTTTTGAAAATCTCAAATAAAATTCTCAATAGAAGAAAAGCATCAGTGCCAACTATCATAAATGGCCCTAAGGTTATTTCATCCAAACCAGGCTCTTTACAATGAACTTTGCCTCTAATTCCACATCAGATGATAAGGACTACCTCTTACCTGACTTCTCATGGAGCACAAACATTGTAATATTCCTATCACAGCATAGGATGTTTCCAGGCTTATCAAAAGAAAATAATAAAGCTACAAGTTTTGATAAAATCTCAGTGGTTGCTCTTAAGAACATCAGTCTAGGATTATCACCAATCTTGGCAAAACTGTTTAACAGCTGCCTCAAGGAAATATGGTACCTAAGTCAACTGTATATCCTGAGCAACAACCAATATGGATTTTGCTGTTAGGTCCACTTGTAAAATTTAATGTGCTCAAAACCAAACTAGTAACATTCCACCATCACAAAACAGAACATGAACTTTCACCTATAATAATGGATGGGTCTTCTCTCAAGGAGGCTCCTTCCCTTGAATGCCTATTGGGACTATATATGATCCACTGCTAAAGATGCTGGAAAAATGGTCAGTTCGTTGTACCACTTCAAGTAAGTGTCCAACCCCTCCTGTTAGGCTTTATCTTTACAAGAGCCAGATCAGATCAAAAATGGAATACTGCTGCTGCTGCTATATCTGGGATGGAGTAGGACCAGTCTTTACTTGCCTTTTTTGATAAAGTTCAAAAGCATCTATGCAGTCTTGTGAGTGATGAAATATTTTCTACCATACAAACCCTTTCCCCACAGATGAAACTTCCAAAATTCTACCACTATTTCCATAGTAAATGTTCTGACAAGCTACATTCCTTAGTTCCACCAGTCCTGATCTTAACACATAAGACCCAACAAATCATCCTCATTCCTTTCATATTCCATTAGTAAGAAAGAAGTTTCAATCAGATAGCTTCTTTGTAAAACAAACTCACAAGAGGATGTTTTCCTGATCATTACAATCTTATTACTCCTACATAACCTCATACAGTGCACTTCTTATCTCCTCTTATGCTCATAGAACCCTCTACCTTGAGTGGCTCTTGAGTGGCCTTGTATTGAGTAAACATTTAAAAAATAAAATAAATCTATCATTAGATGATTCATTTTCAATTTAGAGGAATAATTCATGTCTAGATAAAGAGATCTGTATATAAATAAATTGTTCTAGCTATGTTGAATGATTTGTTGCCAACTTTATTAATGTTTAATTTTGCCTTTTTCTAATTTTTATACTAATCACTACTGTTTTGATACATATTCATTAATATTTTCTTTAACAAGAAATTGCTGGCATTAGTATGATTCCAGCATGACTTCCCATATGTAATTGTAACATATACACAAAAATGATAACCTATAAAATCTTTTTCAAAGAGCATTTGTAGTATTGTCATAAGATTATTTAAGACCTTTAATTTAATGCACACCATTAAGAGGTAGTCAAATAATCTTTCTGTAAGTTAGTCTCTTTCCTTTAGTTCTAATTGGTCATAAAAATTGCAAACAAAATATGGAATAACTAAATACAGATACTGATATTATAGTCGTAAAAAAGTTGGAAAGCACTGATAAAGTATGCAAAATCTATAGGCCTGGTGATTTAATCAAGAAGAAAAAAAATGTACATATATAACAGTTATATATACCCAAATTAGTTAGCACCTTTAAGGTAGGCCATTAATACTTTTAGAAATAAAACAAAGATGCAACCCAATTTAGAAACAGTATATTTAAGCAAAAGAAAATCACTCTGCTGTAGGCAGTAATGCTCTATGATAACAGATTCCAATGACAGTTGAAAACAAATATAAATAACATTTCTAATATTTCAAGCAATTTATCAAAGTTTGGTATGCCATAAAACAAATCAATCAAACATTTAAAAAAAAAAAAAAAAAAAAAATTAAAATTTTGTTAATATTGATAACTTTTTGCTTTCAAAGGGGAGTAATTTTTGCCTCAACAATAATGTAACACCTTATAAACATGAAAATAACACAAACACACATTTTATATATATATATATATATATATATATATATATATATATATATATATATATACACGTGTGTGTGTGTGGTTTTAACAATCCATTGTACAGTTCAACAAAAAGAATAAACCTAATAACTTAACTTACTTCATCTTGGCAGAATTTACGAAGAATCTGAACTGCGTTATCTGTGATGACAGGGGCTTCCAAAAACAAGCGAGTAAAAAGCCTACAAGACAAAAAAATAAAATGCAAAAGAGATTACATGTTTAGCCCATTTGATATTCAAAATTTAAAAATAAAAATTTCAATAATTTATCACTGTTGCTATTTTTATTTTTTACAAAATCAAATTGTTTTTGTTTTGTTTTTGGGAGAGAAAAAAAAATAAAGAAATTTTAAATTCAGGATTGAAGGATATTATAAGGATTATAAGTAATCATTTTAAGTTCACTGCATATTGGTCATATGCAGTGAACTTAAAATGATTACTTGGTCACTTATTTTAGTGCATCATTTTACTTATAATTATTGCATTATGATGCAAACAATAAGAGCATTATTTAAACAAATTAGCCATAAATAATCAACAGTGTCTTTTTATAGCCATCTCCTGCTATATTCTTTCCAGCTAAGAATGTTTTGCCATTTTCATAAGTAATGAAATAATTTTTCTATTATTTCATTACTTACAAAAATGAGAAAACATTCTTAGCTGGCAAGAAGATAGTGGGAGATGGCTATAAAAAGACACTGTTGATCATGGTTAATCAAAATAAATGCTATGTAATTTATTGTGCATTATAAGCACAACAGTAGAAAAAAAAACTGACGACTGCTAGTTGAAAGTTTTCAATTCTATTGCATTTCTAATGATGACCTAATCTGTAATATCTCTTTGTCTTAATAATTATCTTTTCCAGTGATACATGAAAAGAAAATATGAAAATTACAATATCTTTGTCAATATTTCAAGTGAAATCCCAATAGTGCATAAGAAAGTACAAAATAACAAAATACAAAACAACTGATTCTGAATTAAATAATTCAGTAATAATAAATGTGAATACAAAATTTAACTTTTTGCTTTAATCACAAAAAGGCAATTGATAAAACTGCTTTTCATTTTAGCAGAACCTAATCTTAAGAGACAACAAATGTGAAAGAAATCCAGATTTAAATAGGTTATTTTACTAACACACTAACTCAACAGATCATTTCATGCCAAGTTGAGTAGCTTTAAGATTTGTTTTTACTTTGTGTCTATTTTGAAGATAAATTCTTTTATAAGTCATTATTATATAAGGGTGGAGATATAATTCGGTTCTAGTTGCATTTTGTAGCTGAGTTATTTAATGCCGAAATCTAAATATTTTGAACACAATTTTGTGGCTTCAGCCAAAACTATCTTGAACACAATTGTATACCTTTAACTACAGATAAAATGTATTGTCGGTCATTTTACTATAAATAGGTATTGTTGGTCATTTTTTTTTTTTTTTTTTTTTTTATGTAAAAATGTATTGCTGGTAGTTTTACTATATAAAAATGTATTTTTACACTTCCATAATATTTTGTTTGGGGCTTCATTATTTACCCATATCTTGGACCCTAACAGGTGGTACCACTCTGGATCAGAGTGGAGCTGGGAATAACAGCAATTAAGATGTCGTTCCATGCTCCTCAAAACCTCCAATCTCCTGACCAGAGGTCTTGCTGGAAGATGTAGTTTACTGTCATACCCAAGACTACTAAATAGGCATAAAATGATGAATATGTGTCAGTACCAGATAATTATCCAAAACAGCTTGAAAAAGTAAAAAAATAAAATAAAAATTAAGTTATTAATTAAATCCAATTATTACTACTTAACATGGCTCCTATACATGCTAAATTCATACCTTCATGTATGAATTTCCCTGATGAGGAGCCATTTACATTTTTTACATGCAGACTATTGTCTCAAACTTTGTTGTTATCATCACAAGATTTTGGCAATTGCACATTCCAGCTTTCATCAGGTGCTTGTTGATCCAGGTAACATTCAGGGATTTTCAAACTGAAGCCTTTATTTAATCTACACAGGTAAATTGTTCTCATTCCACAGCCCATGTCTAGGGATATCGTGTCTTGTTCTTATTTTTTAGTACTGCTTAATTATTGCTCACTCCACAGACAATAGACTAGGCAATTAAAACATTGGTTTAAGAATGTGGAGACACAGTAAATGTGAGTACAATCTCTGGGCCAGGTAGTGTGAACTTTGACTTGGTGAAAAGATGAGCTTTTATATGTGATTTTAATGGATTTTTCATAACAGCATGTAAGTTGTAAAGTCCTAACATAAGATAATTTAAAACTCAAATCTTTGTATGATGGAAATTTTTTTAAAAATTGTGAAGAGAGTTTACCCATCTCTGTGGTCAGATCGCTCCAACAGTCCATTAAGTAATCTGGTTAGACATTCATCATAGCTAGCAAGGACAATTTTGTGTTCCCCCACGTGAGACCGATTAAAACCATGGCAGACCACATATTCCTGATACAGCCACGAGAAGGCAATATCTGCTCGGTTGCGTAAGTCCTCAAAGATATACTCTTGTAACACTTCAAATAAAAAGAAAGAAAAAAAAAATAGAAATTAATAACAGTTAAATATAGTATTTAAACAATTATTTAAAAAAAAAAATGAAACAAAAAAAAATCAAAACATTTTTGAAGAGATGGATAATACACATAGATTTTGGATGCTCTTGAGAAAGTATGAAAAAGGTGAAATAATGAAAGTGATATCTGACTAATTTTTATCAGTGTTATCAAAAATACTATTATATTTACATTCTTTAATCAATAGGAACCAAGAACTCTTCCCATAAAAAGTTGTTAGGAGTGATGTAAAGAATTATATTTGAAGGTACTTGATATATTGATTTAATATAAACAACTGTAAAAGAAAGTTCAAGTTAAAACTTCTAAATACAAATAAAAAGTATATATTTTTTTTGTTTCTTAATAATTTCACCTGAAACAAGGTAATAATAACCACTATGATGCAAGGAGTGAAATAAAATGAGAAGACTTTAGAAGGAACCAGAAATCCCATCCTAAACAGGAAACAAGGGATAAACCTCTGGATATGAATGGCACAGCCCTTTGTATCCGAGGATGCCCAGCTACTAGGGTGGCTAGCTAAGCTTTGTTGCAGTCACCTGCTCAAGCACATTATCTAGCATGATCAACACTCTGAACAAGGCCAGCATGCTCAAACCCTCGGTCATGATGACTTGTGACTTTGTGCTAGCACAACCATCAACAGCTCTCAAAGGGTTCTGTTTTAACCACTCAGCCATGTACCCATAATAAACCTCTTCAAACCAGTTCAAAAGACCAGGGATGAGTCTATACTGGGCAATAGGCTAACCTATCAACTCATATTGAAAAAAAAAAAAAAAAATACATTTCCATAAAAATTCTTGGTAGGGTTTTTGAAGAATTGTGAAATTCTAAGGTGAAAGAAACATGATAAATATTTACTGATTTATTAGTGAAACTTACCTTAATCTCAGTGCATGTTGTCAGTCTAGTGCTAATTTTTTTTTTATATTTCTGCTTAGTGGACAAACAAAAGAAGGATCAGTAAAATACACTGACAACATATTTTTTTTTTGTATATTTTATGCTTGTACCAGTGAAGTAGATACAAACATAGTCTTGGTATTTTCATGTAAGTGACCAAAATTAAAGGAGTCAGATTTAAAGGATTCTTTTTTCTTTTTAATCATTTTACCCTAAGCAAAGCAATAAAGTCACTAAGACACAAGGGGGTTACTGAGTGAGAAAATATAAGAAAAAAATATTATTAAGGAGATAGAATGATAAGAGAAAAGGAATTAAGACAAGATAATAATTGACATTGCAATACTTAAAAATCAAAGTTGACTGTAAAGCAAGTTGCCGAAAGAGAGTTCCACAACCAAGAAGTGTGATAGAAGAAAGTGTTAGCACAGAACTTACAGTTAAATCTAGCAGCCATTTCAGCTATAAAATGATGAGACCTTGCTACCAATCTAGTACTTCACTTAAATTTATAAAGTCTAGGTACTGTGGAGAAAAGTTCCTCAGAATAATTACCATGAAAATACTTCCAGAAAAGGCACAGAGAAGCTATGTTATGGCAGTGGGAAGTTACTGAAGCTGAGATACCAGGTCAGGACCAACCAATAACATTGAATATTCTTTGTATTTTATCAAGAATCTTTAAATACATAATTTTACATTTGTTTCAGATTATCATCTTTACATACATTGCTTCTATTATTTTAAAACATACACTTATGAATGACTATCAACTCTTAACAACAACAAAAATACATTCTTCTCATAGATATGGTGCCTTCCACGTCTAATTAGAATATTTTCTTATCAGAAATTATTTTATTAATAATCTTAAATAAAAGAAGCTTCATTATTTAAAATAGTATAAGACTAAAACTACATCACTATTTGTTGTACGTTTACTTGAGAGTAAGAACAAATAATAGGTTAATTTTTTCTCTATATGCTTAAATTTTAATTTACCAATGTCTAATTGACTTTCTATAAAATCCATTAAAAGATCCGCCTCACAACCTTAAGGGGAGACCACCCAACATGTCTTCTAATTAACAACCGGTGCAAGGGCTATAACTTCTCTCTTAACATTATATTTGCCTAATTTATTTAAAGTTAAATGTGCAGGTAGTTTTAACTGTTATGTAATCGGCGAGTAGAGTCCAAATTCTGGCCTAGTTTGTTGCGCTTACTTTTGCACCGGTGCTCTTCTTCCTCAAGCTATGGGCTAAATGGCACGGTAGACTGGTATATTCAGACTTGGGTGGCAAACAACATAAGAGAAGGAAAACTTTAAATTCCATACCATGGAGAAGGCAACAAAAAAACCACTTATCTTTTCCAAGAATATGTTGAAATTTGTGAATTTCAACATCATGCAAGACGTTTTGGAAATACAAGATCATTCATATTCAAAAGTTTAGTGACCCGTTACATTCATTTATATTTCATAGGAATTTATCCAAAACATATCTTACACATAAGTTGATATCTAATTAATAAATTCTCTGTAAAGTCCTGACCAATATTTTTCTTAACCCATAAAAAGGCTTCTATCAGGTCATCCCATAAGTTCTGTCCGAATTTGGAATAAAGAAAACAAGTGACCAAATGTTACATTTAATTACAGATTCAATCAACAATGTATTTTCCTTAATTATCTATGACTTCCTTCCATCTATTAACAAGCTTACTAATTCCATTACTGTAAAATTCTTTTGGCTTTGGTTCAAAGAACTCACAAATGTCAGTTTTAATCTCTTCCTGTGTTACAAAAGCTGTTTCTTCCAAATGATTCTGTAAGCTACAAAACAAATGGTAGTCTGAAGGAGCAAGATCGGGAGAATAAGGTGGATGAGGAATTTTCTCCCAACCAAGTTCTTCGATCTTTTGTGATGTGATTCTTGCTGTGTGGAGTCGCGCATTGTCCTGATGAAACATCACCCCTTTTTGATTCACTCGAGTAGGTCTTTTTTTCCTCAAAGCTTGGTTCAAACGCTCTAATTGCTGACAGTATATTTGAGCATTAATTGTTGCATTAGGTGATAAGAATTCAAAGTGGGTTATTCCTTGGCAATCCCACTAGATTGAAAGAAGAACCTTTTGCCCATGAAGTTCCCTTCTCGGCTGTGGCTGGGGTCCTTCCCCTTTATCAAGCCACTGTCTATGATGCTTAACATTTCGATAAAAGATCCATTTTTCGTCACCAGTCACAAGTCTATCCAAAAAAGGTGAAACAAGTTGGCAAGAATGGAGAGAAGAGCAGATGTCAACTTGGGATTTGGGGTTGTTTTCAGATAACTCATGAGGCGTATATTTTCCATGTTTAGGAACTTTTCCAAGTTGTTGAAGATGACCATGAATGGTTTGAACTGAGAACCACTGCCAATTCCTCAACTGATAAAGCAGGATTTTCTTCAAGGGCTGCTTCAAGAAGCTTTTCATCAAACTCAACTGGACGTCCGGTTTGATCTTCATCTTCAAGGGTGAAATCTCCACCTCTGAATTTTGAAAACTATCTTCTGCAAGTTCTTTCATTCACACATTCCTCTCCATAAACTGAGTGAATGTTTCTAGCTGCTTCAGCTGCTGAGTTTCCTTTCTTGAACTCATAAAGCATTATGTGCCTCAAATGATTCTTGGGTACTTCCATGTTAGCAGGGTTTTAATCAAACAAAATGTAATTTTATAAAATTTGATCAGTTTAAATGCATCTAAACATAAAAATAATGTTCAGCTCCATTAGACATTATAAAATACTCTTTAAATTTCGTTCATTTTAAAAAAAAAGGTAAAATTCGGACAGAACTTATGGGATGACCTTATATATAAAAACTCACAATTTTTCAATTCACCACCAAACTGAGCCACAAGGGATGCCAAAATTTTTGTCCGCTCAGACAAAGCATTTCCAATTAAAGCACTTTCTGAAAAGCAAAAATAACAAAGTTAAAAAAAAATAAATATAAAAGAGAAAAATTAAATAATTATCTATTAGATAAAATGTATTGTAAAATTATTTTTCAGTGAAAAATTTGAAATAACATTTACTAAAAGAGCAATTTAAAATTTTAAAAGAGCAAACTCTTTTGTATAATCTTTATTATACCATTACAATTTACAAAAGTATTCCAAACAAAATGAATCACAAATGAAATGTCATAATTATGAGATTGACAGTACAAGAAGTATTAGTGTTAGAAAAGAAATCAACTACAAAAATTTGATCTAAATAAAATCTAAATTCATACAAATATCACTACAAACTTTAGATTATTTACAAAATAAAAACAAAATGAAATCTTTATTTTAAAATTTAATATTTTAAGCAGCTACATAGGAGACAAAATTCATCTAAAGTAGAATAATATATTCTATATATACATTTAAGTGACACTTTTCTAAAATTGTGTAGCTTCTTATTTATAATTCAGTACCATGACCTCAAAGAATACAAGCTTACTTATATCTTAGCATATACCATAGGAATATAGAGAATATATACTAGTTTAATTTTTCTTTTGTAATTGCATCATGTGCTTTTCATTCAAATGGTAAAATAATCATTGTACTTTGATTACAAGTAAAAAAAAAAGGGGGGTCTAAGTTATAAAACTAATGAATCTTTAGATTAAATGAATATTTAAGCTTTAAATTTTGTTTTTATCACTTTACTGCAAGCAATGCAATAAAAGCCACTAGAATATGAAAGGTTAAAGAGTATGAAAGAAATAGAGAGGACAATAAAAGTACAGAGTTCAAAGGTGACAGAAGATAACAATATTACATTTAAATTTTTGTAGATCATAGTTGACAGGATGATAATTCCACATGTGAGAAGTGTAAGAGAAAAAAAATATTAGCATAGAAGTTATGGTTACAAGTATCAATTTCAACAGTGAAATGAAATTTAGCTGCCAATCTAGTACTGCACTTAAATTCATGAATTTGAGATAAACTCATCAGAACAAACTAACAGTTTGTTAACATTCTTACTGAATATAATTAAAAATATGGCTTATACTATTACTTTATTATAAAAAAAAAAAAAAACTGTTTGCAAATAATACTGTTTAATTGCATGAGTTGTTCCTAATTTTAACAAGAACACAATTTCAGGTATTTAATTCAAAAGAAATGAGCATATATAAATAAGTAAATACCTCTGAGTATCATTAGAAAAGTCATTTTCATAGTTATTAAAAATGTTTCTTGCAGGTTTAAAGAAAGATTTTCACAGCATGTTATCTGTGGTGTCCTAAGTTCAAGCACCATAAAAAAAACAACTCTCTCTAGTGGCCCAAAAACAAATCTCTTAAGATTTAGTTTCTGAAAGCACTAACTCATGCAACTTTTAGTTACTCTTATACAAGATGTAAGACTGTATAACAATCTATAAAACTCTATCTGGATAGATGTAGCAGAATTTTAAAATAATGGGAAAAAAATCTTAATAAAAAGAGTACATTGTAACCTATATGATTTATATAGCAACAATGAAATGTACAGTAAGAAAAATCATTTTTAGATACCTGACTAGATTTCTAGCTATGTTCAAGAATAAATATCAAGTGATAGATTTAACAGTAAAAACATACTTTTAAAAAGACCACTGACTAGAGAAACTCTTTTAAATGTGAGATAAAAATTCAGTTTGTAATAAATCAAATAAAGAATAAAATGAGTGTAATTACTTACTTTCAGCATTCAATATTCGTTTGACTGAACTAACTGTCATCTGATCCAGCAAATCCCTGTCCATATTCTTTGTCACACTTGCCAATTTGAATTGTTTCATACCTTTTCTGGTTCCCTGTTTATAAAGAATAGAAGTAATTAAAAAAAAAAAAAAAAAAAAAAATTTAAACCAAAAGTTAAAAAAGTTAATTTTTTTTAATTATACATAATTTTTGGTCATGTAACAGCAGTTAGGAATGAGAATCTGGAGAACAGAGTTTGAATTATAGTCAGGTTTGCTACATTCACTTATGTGCAAATACACTTGGGAAAAGTATGAATCTATATCTTTTACCCCATCTATTGGATGAATAGCAGGGCAGACCGAGTTCTATAGTCTTCATTGGCAACAAGTCTACTGCAGAATGAAATGACAGCCTATAGCTGGAAATCATATGAGACATGGCACTTAACTGACTGAACAGCAAGAATGATCTGATTTTGCTTTGATAAAATTAACAATCATAAACTGTCATGGAATGTAAGCTATTTTTTGACATTGTCACAGGTAGGAGTTTAACATCGTTGATCCAGTTTAAGGAAAGATAATCCATTAGAGGAATCATTCCAGAGGTTGTTAAAACATAACCTTTTTGAGGATTAGCATTATTTTTATATGTATTATTAATACAAAGATCAATCAAAAAAAAAAAAAAAAAAAAAAAAAAAAAAAAAAAAAAAAAAACAACAATCACAAACCATGAAAGGTTGTCCCAACAGTGTACTTTCTGGTTTCTTGCTCAAATCTTCAGAAGTAGAAGTCATTCCTCCTATAAAAAAAAATCCAATCACTTATTATAAACTATTTCTACAAAAGATAGATTATAAAAAAAAAAAAAAAAAAAAAAAAAAACTTTTTGTGATTTTCTACAACATTTGAAAGAAATTATATTACAGATTTTGAACTTCAGGTAATCACAGATTTTACAAATATAAAAAAACTGACCATAGAGAATAGGAAAAACTTGCTTAATACCTGGTCAAGTCATGGTGATATTAAGATTAAATGAACATTTAAAAGCTTAGGCAACAGAGACACACATTCCAAAATAAATCTTCTTGTCATTTTTATTTTAAATTCAGTTTCTTTGAATCTAATTATCATTCAAATATTATATTTTATTATTTTAATGGTAATTATAAATTGAGGATATATTTTAAGTAATCATAATTTGTTTGGATTTACTGTACACATACAAAAAATCTAGGAGCTGAAAATTTTGTTTGACTATTTATGCAAAACTACTGTTCTTTAGTTTATTGATCTATCTACTCAATCCATTTTAGCTCGAGTCATCATTATACAAACATTTTTTATAATGTATAATAAAAATGAGGTGGTGCTGAAAAGTTCTCAGCTTGAGCAAAATCTTAAAGAGAAAAAATTGCTTGGTCATTTAGTCAGATTTTGGTAAGCGAGTTAAAAACTTTCCAGCACTTTGTATTAATCAGTTTCTAGGTTTAAATTTATTTGTAAATGACAACGACCTGATGGTGATAAAAAATCTTATATCCTTATAAAATAAAATTTAAAAGAAGGAGTCATTATCATTACTTCTCAAGTTGTTTAGAGCTAATATTCTCATCATTAAGACATTTTTTGCAGCCAACTTACCTACTAATGTTTGTATGTGTTGTTTGGAAGCGACACCATCTTCAGTTGTAGAAATTTGTTCTTCCTCATTTTCACCAGCCTTAAAATTTTATATTACAATTAAATAATTATAACAAAGTCTTACTAAAATAAAACTGAAAATAGTTTGCATTTAGTTAATCTCTTAATATGTATTATTTAAAAACAAATTTGAGTGAAAATATGAGAGGGTGCTGAAATGTTTTTGGTTCAACCAGGAAATGCTTTAAAACTTTTGTTTGGCAAGATTTTCTTAAATTAGAACTTTTCAGCACCCTCTTGTATATAGGATTTTAAAATAGTAAAAAGATTACTTTTTGAGGATTCAATGTAACTGTTAAGATGTCATTTTTAAAAGCAATTGAGATCATTCAAATACAATTTAAATAAACAAATATTAAAAAATAAATTAAAGTTTAATATGAAAGTTATAACAAATTCTTGCAATAGCCATACTTGTTTACAACATAATTCTATACAAGAAAAAAACTGTTTGCAAATACTGTACAATTTGTCTAAGTTTCCTCCCAAATCATTTTTATGCTTCACTTAAATTACCTGTTTAGTATAGTCTATATTTATTTTTCTCTATGTAGATATGAATCTTTAAGTCATTCAAAAATATAATCAATATGTAAGCAGTTTAGTTTTTCATGTTAAAATATATATATATATATATATATGTAGGTGATATAATTTCAAATTTCATTTAAGCAAATAAGACAATTTTTCCAATCTTCCTATAGAAAGATATGCTGTGGAAAAAATAAATATAAGCCAGAAAAATAGAAAAGAAGATAAAAAAAACAAAAAAAAACGGCTGTAATATTTACCATGCGCTGGACTTCATTAATTCCTTTGCCCATGCCTGCCATAGTTAGCTGAGTGGCAAGAAGTCGTGCAAGATGTTTAATTTGTCCTGGTGTTCCAGCAGCAGCAATAGGAGTATAAGTTGCCTGGAAATGTGCTGGTAGAGAATCAGGCAACATTACCTAGTGTAGTTGAAAAAAAAATAAATAAATAAATAAAATAAATAAATAAATACATAAAAAATGTAAAATAATAATTCAGGGAACTAATTTAAAGTTATAAAAATAGTCATATTTTAAATAGAAAAGTAAAAAAAAGGACAAAATTTAAAATACACAACTTGAAGAATGGCCAAAATCTCAATGGTAAATTCCAGATTGTACAATAGATAGTTTAGTAAAGGTCCTAATTTGCATCATATTTTTGATGACATAAATAAACTTTATACTGACAAAAATGAAGTTACAACATAGTAGTTCTGCAAAAAAATTTCCTTTCAGAAATTCTAACTTAATCATTGAACTTCTAACATTTAACTTTTGATCTTGAAACTGAACTTCAATATGTTGTTAATTGGAGCAACAAATGGTGGATTTTGAACTTTAATGCCTTCAAAACAAAACTGCTTTTAGAAAACTTCTGTTGCTTTCCATCAGCATAATGGTTAATGCCAACCTTCAGGAGAGAAATTCATTGCACCTTCGTGAGCTCACATTTTCTACTAATATCAAGTAGAAAAATTATATAGAATAAATTCCTATGTCAGCTGCTAGGAAAGTTGGTCCACTTTCATGCCAGACGATTTTTCTTGCTAAGATCCATTTTACACATTTATAAGTCTACCATTCATCCGTGCATTGAATATTGCAGCCTCATCTGGTCTGGTGTTCCTGCTATACATCTAAAGATTCTTGACATAAAATCCAAAGAAGAATCTGCAATTTTAACGGTCCTAACCTAACATCTCTGCTTCAGTTGCTTTCCCATTGCTGTAATGTAAATTCCTTGTATTTTTCTATAAATATTTTTATGGCAATTGTTCTGATGAGTTTTCTTCTCAGGTACCATTACTTCAAAAATTTAAGTGTAGTACTAGATTGGCAACTAAGTTTACTAACTTTTAAAGTAACTTAAACTAAGTTTTAAATTTTACTGTTAAAATAGCTAGATTTAATCATAAATTCTTTGCTAATAGATTCATCTCAACTATGGAACTCTCTTCTGGATACTTGCTTTCCTATCAACTATGTTCTTAAAAAAATGTAAATCTAAGGTCAATCACCATCTTCTGTCCTTTTAAACAGTCTCTCTTCTTTTTTCTATATTTTTTTTTAAATAGTCTTTTTTCTTCACTAATGTTTTCATTTACTTTCACTCTCAGTAACCTCCTCTGTCTCAGTGGCTTTATTGCTTTGCTTGGGGCAAAATTATATAAAGAAGAAATACTATCTGATTGGGGAACTAAATGCACAGATTTTACGTATATCAATTACTTAATACTGCTGTATATTTTTAAAGCACAGACTGACTCACACCTAGCAAAGCTAAGGGTGTAAGACTTTTTTTTTTCAACAGAAGAAATTTCATTGAGTGTGAAAGTTATTTTATTTTTAATTTATGGTAACTTAAAATGCAAACACTAAAACTGAGCAAGTCACATGAATATAATATTCATGTAAGACACAAGGCAAATAACATCCATTTTTAACTTAATGGATTAATAGCTGACTGCCGATAAACAAGAGAAGTGAATCAACATTAATGTTGTTACTATCATGTGAATAATTTTATCCAATCATAATTCAAAGTCTGTAGACATGGTCATATTATAGGGTAATATAAAACAATCCCTTTTTTTTTTATTCTAACAACACATTCTTCTGAGAAAAATTCTTTTAATTGTAAATATTTCTTTGTAATTTAAGGAATTAGATTTTGGTCTTTAAAAGGAAAAATTAATGTCATAAGTGCATTGTAAGTACTATTAAAATATATCTAAACACAGAACTGATTTAGTCATTTTTTCATTTCTAAAATAGAAATTAAATTCTAAGAAACAAGCAAAAAAAGTACAATACTTACAAAATTCTCAATATCACAAAAAATGATTTGAAATGAGATTATGAGAACTGAATAGAATCTTAAATGAGCAAAAGACTTACCATGCTAATTAAAACTAAATCTGCAACATTGTGAGCATTCAGTCTATTTACTAAATCTTCTGCTGTGATGTCAATAGCAGTTTGCTTTTGTGTTAGGTTTGGTTGTTTCTCCTTGTTGCTCCAAGGTGTTGTGCCAATATCATCATCTTCAACATCTACATCAATCTATAAATATACAAAAACAGACATTACTTGGTAATAAGTTTTCACTTTTATGCTGGAATAAAAAAAAATTAGAAAACAGTATTGTCAGGTAGTTACAAATATAGAATTATTTTCACTGTCATAATAAACTAACTTGTATAAGTGATAGTATAGAACACACATAAGAAACTCACCTCTACTTTGGCTTTCTTAGAAGATGATGAGGTACTTGGAGGTTCCTCAGCTTTCCTCTTCCTTATGTCTTCTGCTTTGGGCATACATTTCATCACCTGAAATACAGTATTAAATATATTAATGGGTGAAAGGATTACAAAAATATATAGCTATTAAGCAAGTGGAAATAGACTTACATCAGTGATGACAATGAAAATTTATTAAATAATAAATTTAATCCAAATGCAGAAAGTGTTTGAATTCAAGGTGTTTTAAAATGTTTTTTCTTTTTTTTTGTTCATCAACAGTTTTAAACTGATTTTCTACTCTTCAGAAAATCCAGGTGCTTTCTATTAAATGAAAGTTACAGTAGTTAAGATTTTTGTAAGTAAAGGATTTGTCAGCAGAGTGCTGCTTGCCACTCAAAAGTAGGATTATATATAAAAAATGATAAAGTTTTAAGGTATGCTAGATTTACGGGTTAAAGTGCTTAATATCAGGGATAGAGCGTATGTAAATATAAAAGTGGACATTGAAGTCAACACCAGAGGCAAAACTGTTTCATGTTACATGCAATTGTCAGGCCATGTGTGTTGTGTTTTTGCTTGATTATTTATATATACAGGTCAATAATGCATTGCGGATAGTCTATTCTAACAGTTATTTTGGTAGGTAGTAATGGTTGTGTTTCGAATTATGCTTATTGAGTTGGAATAACTGTTGATCCAAATGCAGTTTTTTTGTCTTGTTAACCATTTTTTTTAAATTTATTATTTTATTGTTGGTTTTTATTACTACATTTTCTTGTGTTTATCTGTGCATATGTGGTTGGTTAATTTATTTCTTATTTACTTAGTTTATTTAATTATTAGTTTGGATTAATTTATTTTATTTGTTTTTGTTTATTTAATTATTTTTGTTTATTCTTGTTTGTTTGCAGTTTTCAATTCTTAAGTAACGTAGTAAAAATTTGTTTTTGTGTCTTCATTTTGAGATGAGTTCAGATCATTTATTTAGTAGTTTGTTTTGGTCTGGGAAGGTAATAATAGCTATTTTTTTCATTTTTCCACATTACATCAAGCAAAAAAGTTAGGAAGGAAACCTCTATCAATACTGTAAGGAGAAATAATAGTTATTGGACTTGAGAAATCTATTTCCTGAAAAATTGTTTTAATAGAAAGATCTTATAAATTTCAAGCAAAAGTAGCAATGAATGCTGAATGTTTACTTATAAGGAAACAGTGAATTTTACCATTACAAACACACCTGTACATTATATACAACTATTCTTATTTATTCCAGTGTTTTGTTGAAAGTAAAGCAATAGCTACTTACTTCTGACTGCATAGCTCCTAGGTCTGTGAGAAGAGTTGTGATTTGTGGCATGAAGTCAGGAGAACACGGATGTTTTAACAAAGCTAACATTTGCATTTTCAAGTTTTTTCGAACACTGCTCACTTGCGATTTGGCTAATGTGGGAGGCAGATTTACTGAAATGAAAAGCAGTAAAATGTACTAAATAGAAACAGCTTATAAAATCACATAATACAATGGACAATTGCAAATTGTCAATGAACATTGGACCTAAAAATTCCAGAAAAAAATTCAGTGATTTGACTGACCTTTTTACTTCATGAATTCTTTCAATATATATATATAAATAAAGAAAGGCCACTTACCATGCAAGGATTCAAATGCTTGGACTACCTGATCAAAATATACTGGTCTTTGTTTGGCTATTGTAGTCAAGCTTCCCATAACAGTCATGAGATTAATACTGAAATATGAAAAATGATATAATAAAATAACTTGAGATATAGTATCTCTAAAATTAACAAATGGATTAACTTTTGAGTAAAATGACTGTGTGACTCTTGCCATTACGATTTTAAATTTACTTTTCATCTCCCATTTCCACCCCCATATTTGTTCCTTGCTTAGTTGTGAGAAAAAAAAATTCATAAATGCACATCAAACATTGTTAAATACATTCACATTATAAAATGAATTTAAAATAGTTATGAGCAATTAAAAATGATGAAAATAATTAAGATTAAAAGTAATAGCAGATTTAATTATTCCAAGTAATTTTTTTTAATCAATTCATTCCAAACAAGACAATAATGCCACTAAGACACGAGAAGCTACTGGGAATAAAATAGAATGAGACAAAGTGGAAACTCAATTCTAAACAAGAAACAAGGGATAAACCTCTAGACATATTCAACAAACTGGAGAGGAGTGTGAACTGGACAATAAGAGAACCTATCTACTATTGAGTGGGATGGGGGAAGTAAATAAAATTTCAGTGTTTAGGCCGAGGCATTAGAAGTATACATCTGAAGTAGACTTTAGAAGGAACTGGAAACCTAATCCTCAACAGGAAACAAGAAATAAACCTGTACACTTCTGTTCAGAAGACCAGGGAAATTTATTTCTATTTTATTGTCACAACATACTATTTTTAATGTACCTTTTAAACTACTTCAATAAAATTTAAACTTGGTGGATGGTTTCCATATTTTTATAGCATTATACAGTCATCAATACATTAACATTTTGTATGAAAATACAAAAATCATCTCTGTGTTATGGTCTTTTTCTTTTTTTTTTTCTCCATAAGGTTTATTGCAGATTTCATAAACTTAGACTAAAAGTTAATCTTGAATGACATTTTTATAACATGGTGTAGACAAATATGGAGAGTGACTTTAATGCTAATAGCCATAACCAATGAGAACAAATAAACAAGAGATCAAGGAATTTGTGTTAAATTATGGATTTGTGAAGCTTGTCAGGTTTCAGTTAACAAAAGGAAAATATAAGGATTCATATCAAATTCTATGCTTACATTTATTGTTCTAACAAACAGTGAATTTCCAACATTGTTAATAGTAACATTTATGTGCTTCCTATGCATGGCTGTCTTCAAAATGTATTCACAAAACAAACAAAACATGCACAAATATACTCTTCAGAGTATGCAACAATACAGTTACAAACTGACCTAGATACATGTGGAGAAGCCTGAAACTTTAGCAGTGTATCAAATAACTTGCTGCCTTCTTCTTCCAACTTTTTCACTTTGAGGAATTTGTGATTTTCTGGAATCTTTTCAATATTCATATCATTTTCCTGTTTCTTTGGGACCTCTGATTCCTTTAGCAAAAAAAAAAAAAAAAACAAAAATCACTACAAAATACATAAGATTAAAATGACAGAAATAATCAAGACCAGAATATTTATTTTAATCATTAAATTTAATTGGCTCACAATAAATTATTAAAAGTAATAATTGTAAAACTTAAGTGGCGGAAGTCAACCGGGGGTGGGGGTCTCTAACATGAGTAAATGAGTAAGGAGGATTTGGATTTGCAAAAGAATTTACTGTATCCAGGTGCATGCAAATATCCCTATTTTTATTCTAATTCTCAGCGTTGCAGAAACTGTATATACAGAAGCAATCATCACTAGCTTATATTTGTTGAATCAGACCTATCTTCTTCCGAAGCTATCAGCCTAAAATAGATAATAATGATGCAGTTATTGCTTTAGGTACAAAGAGTTAAATGAAATATAATTATTTAAGTACCAAGTAAAAGAGTATAAAAATAAATTTTAAGTAAGCATTACAAAAATAAATTTAGCTTAGTACAATATAGTTATAATATATCATGACTATTTAAATGAATAAAAATATCTTGAATTTTTGTTTTGAAGACATAAAATTCTTCAAAATAGTATCATATAAAATGAGGCTATTATTATTATTATCATCATCATCAGAAAAAGCAATTATTATACAATTTTAAAATCCTATGAATTTCCTAGCTGCATTTATGAAATACACTAAAATATTAACCAATCATTTTGTCATGCATAATACCAGACACTTTAAGTAACTTGTATGTGTAAACATACCTGATATTTACAAAATGTTATTTAAATTATTGACTTTATGTATGCAAAAATGCTAATGTTGCTTAGGCTCAGCAATAATTCACAATAATTTGGCTATGACTAAACACAGACAATTTAAAGAGAAAGCATTTAAACATCTTCACTTGACAGGGGAGTGCATTTAAACATCTTCATAAACATTTTCTAGCATATAAACAACAGATATAACTCATGGTCAATAGTAATTCTAGTGATAAATAAGTTGTGGTTGTTCCTATAATAAATTTCAGAATGAGTTAAATATATGATACATTGTGTTTCCTAAAAGGAAATACATGAAGTAGAGTGTTAATCAATTTTAGATTCTGGATACAGAAATGCTTGTTGAATGTTCAATAAAAACTGCCATTTTACAACTATATGATTTTCCAATTCCTTATTGCAATTATCATAACAGCAAATGTATCACTAATAAAGACATAGGTGATATGTAGTGGTAACTTATTTTGCTATAAATTAAATCATAACTAAAACCATACCATGATAATATACTACTAATAATATAAATTAAAAAAAAAAAAAAAATGAAATATTGACTCACAGGTGATTTTCTGGTTAAAGTTAAAACAACACTTTCAAGGAACTTGACAACATGGGTCCGGATTCTGTATAGAAAATAAAAGTTTTTTTTTTTTTTTTTTTTTTTTTTTTTTTTAGAAAATTAGCCAAATTTTCTATGCTAATATTGTAATTTCATATATATGCACAAACATATCTTGATTCACTGGAGGCAAATTGGAGCTATTAATGCTAAATGTTTGTTGTTTACCAATTACAGAAATAAAAATCATTTGATTAATGATAAAATCTCTCTCTAAAAGGGATACATCATTTAAAGTCAATAAGTTACATTTTTCAAGCACAAGGTTTAAATTTAAAGAAACTTAAATTTAGAAGCTCTTTACAAAAAACATTGAAAAATAAATTTACATTAAAGAATCAGACAAAAATGCAAAATAAAATTAAAGGCAATAACCAATGATATTTTTTATAAAAAAAGCAATTACTTTATCAAAAAATAAATTTTTAAAAATGTTAAAATTTCTTTTGTTAAAATAACTAAAAAGATTGATGTACTATTTTCTTTAATTTTGTACTTACAATTATCAATCAAATATTTGTTCTCTGAAGACATTAAAATTTTAAAATATTTACTTTTGCAATAGAGAATCATGTTAATAAGAGAAAAACACATTCAGGAAAAACCAAGGAATATTCATTACCCATCATTCTCAGAATCCACCAAATCAATGATCAGAGATTTCAAATTCAAGATTTGTTCCCATGCATGTTGCATCTCTGCTGTTGGAGCTTTTGTTTGGCTTAACCACTGGAATAAAATATTTTAATATTTAAATACTTTTTTTTTTTTTCAATTATAATGAATAATTATTCTTAGCAGATGTTCTTCTAGCAATGTGATTCCAGCTTAATTTGTTAAACTTATCAAATACTGATTTGTTGGTAAAGAGAATTAGCAAGAAGTTTTTTCTTGTATTGCAAGGTTACATTTTCCATAGGGTCATTCCATGTCAATTAAACCAATCAATGTAACCCCAAAAAATAGATTTTGTTCATTTTAATACATGATGTAGAGTTTATAATCATTAGAAAATCCTGAAATTTTTAAGTGAAAATTCTTGTTCTAAAGATATTACAAGTTGAAATTTTGCTGACTCAGCATTTTCTGTCAAACAGACATTTCTATTTTCAAACTTAATGATTTCACAAAATCCCTGATATCCATTGGCCAAAAATTAATGAAATTTGATATCCTTACAGATTTTTAGTCAAGGAATCCAAATATTGCCAAAAAGTAGATATTAACATTTCTCTGGTGAAAAAAAATGTAAATCTTTAGGTGCCCAACAACAGGGAAAAATTGAGAAATATCATCTTCAGCTCCGAAAAGTAGTAAAAACATGACACAACATTTGAAAACTAGATTATTTGAGGAATAAAACTCAACAAGTTTCATTAACCATTTCTTAAAGCTACCAACTCTAGACCTTTGAATAATTTTTTCTCAAAAATTCTGATTCATGGTGATTTCACAATTATGAACTTCTAATATTAACTCATTCTGCTAAAGCTGATGAAGTCCATAGGTAGCAAAACATTGGGAAAACACTACATAGTATTTGGAGTATATTCTATACCCACCATATTAATCTAGGAACAGAAGCAATTTTAAAATCCAGACTAAATGCAACTATATTTCCAGTTAATATAAAAATATTTTATATTTATGTGATGTGACTATGAATATTGACAAGTGTTAATTTTTAAAAAGAAAAATAATTACATTTAATATCTTTTTAAGATACAATGACAAGAGACAGAAACAGGATTAGAAAATATATTTTTATAACTAATGATCTTATCTCCAGTTGACATTAACTGATTGAAAAGTAAGCAAAATTAACAAAATTCAATTCATTTACAACTACAAACAATCCTAATGACTAAACTACAGAGACAAATTTGTTTTTCAAGTTTGATTGCATAGGATTAGTTTATGATCCTTTCTTTCATTTTTTTAAAAATCATTTCACCCCAAGCAAGACAATAAAGCCATTAAGACACAAGTGGTCACTGAGTGTAAGGAGAATATGAGAGAAACTACTATTAAGGAGAGAACACAATAAATGAACAAGCATTAAGAAAACAAAAGATATCAATTGACATTACATTTAAATTTTTGAAGATAAATGTTTACTGGGAAACAAGTTGGAAGAGAATTCCACAAGTGATAAGCATGATAGAAGAAATTGTTAGCATAGAACTTATGGTTACATCTAACCATTTCAACAGTAAAATGATGGGAAACCAATCTAGTACTGTGCTTAAATTCATAAAGCCAAGGTACCATAGCAGAAAATTTATCAGAACAATTACCATGAAAGTATTTATGAAAAAGTCACAGAGAAGCTACGTTAGGGTAGTGAGAAAGCAAATGAAGCTAAGATACCAGGTCAGGACCAATAACATTGCAGATTCTTCTTTGCATTTTATCAAGAATCTCTAAATATATAGCAAGAATACCAGACCAGATGAGGCAACAATATTCAAAGCAAGAACAAATGACAGACTTATAAATATGTAAGATAGATTCTGACATAAAAAAAAATTGTCTAGCATGATATAGTGCACCAACTTTCTTAGCTGCAGATTTATATCTCCCTCTTTCTAAATTTGATCCTATCTCCATGACAATATTGAATCTATGACTTCTGAGGTTTTTAATTAGTATTTTTCTTTTGGTGACTAAAATGGGAGATCAAATTCTGTTGTTACTTCTGATGTTTTAAAATTTTTATTGTTAGTGAAATACCTTCTGATTAAAAAAAATAAAAATACAGTTTCAAATTTAGAAAGAGAGAGATTTAAAGAGATTGTCATGTGGTTGAAATAATTGCATATATTCTCACCAATCCTTGAGGTCTATGTTCAAGCCCAAGTAAAAGCAAATATTTCAAATGCTTATTTTTAAGACAAGCAGGCCTTCCCCACCATGTAGTCTATTATTAAGCTTAGTAATTATTGACCGATTGACTAAAGATAACACTTACCTGTACAGCAAGTCGGTAAAGCCCAGCCATAACCAGAATTACTTTTTTCCGCACATTAACATTTTCATCTTGAAAAAGTGCTGTCAGGTTGGGCATAATCTTTAGAAGCAAGTCAGGGTCTTTTTTACTAGGTAAGAAAAAAAAAATGAAAATGAAAAATATTACAGTACAATTATTAACATTGAAACAGTATTTATTTAACTGTCTGTTACACATTAAGCATGGAAACATTAACAACAAAAAAGAAATTGTACAAATAATCATATAATTCTACATGTTCCCCCATTAGTAAGTTAGTTAGCACATGTATTATGCTTTGTCTATGCTCTGCTCACAAATTCTTGATGTAGCAGCAGCAGCAGACAAGAGTAAATAGCAAACCCTAACTTTGAGGTACAGCGTAACTCACATTGAAGTATTGTGATGAGTACCTATTTACTACATGCCTTGCCATTACCCAAGATGGACAATTCTGTTTTAATGGCAGGGAAAGATGAAAAAAAAAGATATATCAGAGACATTGTTTGGTCTTAGTGAAAGAAAGAATGATGCTCACATGCATCTGATGTCTGCTTCAGGGAAATTGAATACCTTAACAATTTTTAAAATCTTTTCATTCGTACCCTCTTAGTTCTTTAAATAACGATCTGAATCTGTACTTATGATTGTTACTGCAATATTCTTGCTAAAGTTGTCAAGCTCAAATATTTAACAATGCAATGGAGAAATTTCCACGGGTATTTTTTGGTCATGAAACTTGTAAGAAACACTTCAATTATTAAATTAAGAATTATGATTCATCAGAAAATCCAAGTAGAAAAACTGGGAAATTTTCACAGATATTTCTAGTATAAAATAATTTCCATTGCTAAACCTGCTCAGATTTGGATTAGAAAATAAAGAAAATGCACAGAAAATCTACAAAAAATTCACTGTGTGTTTTAAATGTAGCTTCATCAGATATCTCAAAGATAAAAAAAAATTGATAAATTATTCCTTTAACATGAAGCATTACAATTTTAAAAAGTAACTTTTATTTTCAACAAATTTAAGCAACCATTTCAAAATCAAAAGCTGTCATAAGTTTAAATGCAGAAATAGCATTCTCTACTTGTTATTCATCTCTAAAAATTCAGAATATATCATCCTAAGAAATGACATGTACTGAATGTGTGATTTTTTTTTTCATTAAGATAAATAGGTGGAGCTAGGTGAATCTACCACCCGGTTCACACTCCTTCCCCATCTTTTGAACAGAAATAGAAGTTTATCACTAATTTCCTGTTTAGGATTGGGTTTCTAGTTCCTTTTCCTAAAGTCTTCTGATTTTCTTTCACCCCCAATAATACCTTATGTCTTAGTGGCATTATCACTTTGTTTGAAATGAAATGATTTATAAAAGAAAGAAAAATACTTAAGCTGGCTGAAAGTCATTGCTGCATAATAAAGAACATTTCAAATGAATTTAGTTCTCTACTCTACAAATTTTGTACCTTAATATTCAGAACTAATATAGGGTGTATGTTCATAGGGGTGTATCATCAGTGGTAGTACTTTTGCAGCAAAGCAGTTGACCCTGCTTTTTATCCATGTGAATTGGGATGCGAAACTGTACTCTACCAACTCTCACACATGGCCCCAAGAAGTCACATAGGCATTGCATCGTCAATGGCATCAAGCTGCTGGCTAAAGTGTGCAAGGATAGTCGAAAGGGTTTCCCTGACCCGATTGGTGAAGGGGAATGGCCCTCCCCAACCTATCTGTGCCAAGCGACCATTGGTTAGTTACCAACCTGAGCATAGGAGCTGCATCTCAGAGGTAAACAGCTTTACCAGTGGGCAGAGAAAATTCTGAGAGGAGGGATGGGGCAATATCAACATCCACGGTGCAAAAGGAACTGGCAAACAATTGCACTGTTTTGCCTTGAATGTCACCTTGAACCATAATTATAAGAGAGACCAGTGGTGAACACAGCAGTGCAAAATACAGTAAATGAATAAATGATGATGATATTCATAACTAGCTGTATTAGTTTAAATATTTCATCACAAAGTATATGAATGTAATTTGTATTATGCATTGATGCAGATGCAAAAATCAGCAACATATAAGGAAATATTCTACCAAACAAAATAAAGATAATAAAAATCTCAGAAAGTATCCAATCTGAAGAACAAAAAACAAAATAGCAAGAATAAAAGAAAAGTAACATTTAGTTTTAAGTAGTGAATTTAAACCTAATAAAAATGTGAAGTGAAAACATATGAGAGGGTGCTAAAAAGTCCCAGAAGTCCTCCCCCTCTCAAAAAAAAAAAAAAAAAAAAAAAAATTTGATGTTTTGTCAGTTGGGCCAGCCTGTTAACATTACAGCATCACTTTCAACATACAAATCTACTTACCATGCTTCTTCAATGAAACTGATCATAAACTTTCGTACTTCTACAGAGCGGTCACTTTGAAATGCAATCATTTCCTAAAAAGTAATAATATTAGCAAATAAGATTTAAAGCCAATAATATATATATATATATATATATATATATATATATATATATATACACACACACACGAAAATCAAACAAAATTTTTATCAGACAACTTACTCAGTAAAATGTCTCAATTTTATATTTGTGTTGTTTACAATAAAAAATATTAATATCCAAGTCACATATGTTTGCCATTTTTTATCATCACAAAAAAGACATTTTAGTCATTAATAAGTTAAAAACATATTTTGATATTAGTAAAGAAAAAATCTCTATACTATAACACTATTTTAAATTCAAACACTTTAAATACTTACGAATTTTAAAATTAATTCACTTTAGAAACAAATGCAATATTTGAAAGCATATTCTAGTCAATGAATTATGAAATTACTTACAAAGCAAAATATTCAATTTGAAAAATTAGTTTAAAAATTCTTATAATAGAATCAAAAAGGATAAAAAAATATTTTTATAACACTTCCAACAATTAGAGTTTTGAAGTAAACTGAATAATTCTTCATTTTTACAATTCTATAAAATATGATTATTTTCAGGACTAGTTTTTATTCTGGTTATCTGGAGATTGTTACAAAAATTTTAAAATCACGTTATAAAAAATTATTTGAAGATCAACTAAATCAATTATTAAAACAGATATTATTTGAATCATAGAACACATACCTCCAAAAAATTATCTAATAAATTAGGTTCCTTGAATAAAATCAGTTCTTGAACCTGAAATGAAAAAGAAGTGGTAAAGAAAGATAAAGAATATAGAGTAATCCTTAAATTGAAATCTTGTTTGTTAATCTTATTAAAGAAAGATATATATATCTATATATATATATATATATATATATTAGCAAGAAGTAATCCCAGAACTTTTTTGAAAAAATAGAACCACTCTGCTTTCTGATTTGAAATCAAGAAGAGTTTTCTTGACTGACAGCCCAATCTACCCTACTATTTACCAATACCAGAGGAGAGAAGTGGATCCATGCCTTCTCAAAGGCATGAGTACAAAGTGAATACCAACCATTTCAGTTTAGATCACCTACATTTTCAGATTAATTGCAGTTAAATCAAGACAGTACTTGAATATAATCAGTTACACAAGGCAACAAAAAGCCAATATACCCAAAATCTGAAAAATCAATTGTGCCAGCTTTGTTATATTAGTCATTTTGTTGTATAGCTCCCACATAATTTAACCCCCTGCATGCTAGTGGCTTTCCCATCTTGCTTGGGGTGAAATGCTTAAACAAAAAAAAAAAAAAAAAATTGAAAACTTACATGACAGTATTTAAATATCCAGTTTTTTTAAATATATTATGATGGGTAATGAATATTAGATATTTTAAGATATTGTAGAAAAAGAAACATGAACCCCCACTAATTTTACTGAATTAAAAAAAAAAAAAAAAAAAAAAAAATCAAGCCTATTACTATGAATACTTTTTGGAGAATCAAATGATTTGAACAAGTATTGCTACAAATTAGACCAACTGAAGGCACTGATCAATGAAAAAGCATCCAGAACCAATTAACAGAATGGACATAATATTCCAGCAGAATAATGTTTGACTGTATATTTTTGGTGCCCAGGCAAACGTTGTTACAATTTAGCTGGAAAGTTTCATTTATTCACTAGCTTACTATTACTTTAGAATTATGCATTTGTGTTTTTTTATAGAATTTTATTAATAAAAAAAAAAAAAAAAATCTTAAAATCTCTGGATGACACCTAAAGCAGTTCTTTGCCAAGAAGGATGAAAAGTTCAGAGAGAACCAAATTATGCAATTGCTAGAAAGATAGTGATTCAAAAACAACCAAAATATGTTATTCAGTAAAGTTAATGTCAAACATGAAATCATTTGAGACTTATTTTTACTTAATAAACTGAAACTTTTTACATTATCCAATATGTTCAGGAATTATTATTTTGTTTCTTTTTAGCTTCCAATGTGATAATCACATATTGTTTCACAATACATTCAGATAAATAAACAAACAAAACTCCTAGCATTTCAATTTGGAACTTAGTTACAAATGTAAAAATAGTATACATACATAACTTTTGGCTTCCAATTAAAATTTTTAATTAAAGTGTTTAATTTTCAACATTGCTACCCCAACATAATCTTAAAACAACCTTTTTTAAAATATTGAATGAAAAATACTAAAATTCACATTTATTTATCAGGCTTAAATACTAAAATATGAATAAATTGTACTGATATTTTGTTTAACAAATTAGACTGAGTTTCTTCTCTCCATTTACACTAAAAAGAATTGTAATGTAACTAATAATTTTATGTTTAAAACACAAATTTGTTTAAAGATCTCACCTGTCGGAGATATGTAGCTTTCATGCTGTCTCTTTGCAATAAAGATGCTTGATTTAATAACTCCACAACCTAAAAAAGACAAAAAAAAAAAAAAAAACACTGAAAAAATTTAGAATGTATAATTTTAAAAAATAGGCAACTTGTTTGTAACAATCTTTTTTTTAGTTTACAAGCCTTCCTATATTTTGAAAATGAATTCTATATATTTTAACATTAAACTTGAAGCTATAAATATAATAAATTAATTTTAAATCATGCAACAACAAGCATAGGTTATAGTTATCAAGTGTGGCTTGCAATGAAAAAGTTACTGTGTGTGACATTTATAATATAAACATTGGCAAATTTGAACCATAGGTGTCATTTGTGCTGACAGCGATCTTTTCATTTAATTACAAAATTTTAATTACAAAGAACAAAACTTTTTGTAAACAAGTTAAAGATTTACAATTGCTCATCAAACTAAATCTTATCAAAAATTCCAAGTTCAGTCCCAGGGTTAACCAGTGAAATTCATATACACTGGTTCAGATTGATTGATTTGTTTTTTATGTTTTATCAACCCTTTGTAGGTTATTAAAACATTTTGGATTGTAAGACTAATTTTTCTTTTTTTGGGAATGAATACTGTACCCAGTGTTCCCAACAGGTGCTCCATGACTGGGCTCAATGGTGTTTACCTTCAATAATTGGATGATAACTAGTGTTTTAAGCATGATTTGTCTGTAAGTGGAATGAGCAGAAATAGTATCACAAGGATGATTAAACTAAGAGATCTTTTAGCATAAACAGAGGGATAAGAACAACCTACCCTAGTGAACTGAATTAAGGCACAATGGGTGCAAGAGGGCATTCAACAGATTTAAGTATATGGCTCTCTCTATCAAAAGATCCACAGATATAGTAATAGGGGATTTGTTAGAAATAAAATAGCAAGTCTATTTAATCTTGAAATTTAAAAAGAAACTTGCAGATTTTGGTGGAGGTTCTGAAAGAAAATAGACTTTGAATTTGAGCCTGAAATCTTCAATTTTGCACTGTTTACCTTAAAATCAAAATGAGAAAGCAGCTATGTTTGAGGATATTTGTTACAATGTAAGAATCCAATATTTAAACCATTCTTTTATGGAAGCAAGATCTTCATTAAAAATTGTAAGGGCTTGAAGATTTTTCCAATGATTCTTTAGAGATCCACAGTAACAGGAATTTAAACAGAGAATTTCTTAAGGATTTCACTGAAGGACTTATTTTTTGCTTCAAAATCAACCCTTCAATACAGACCTCAGGCATGAAGTTAAAAACATAATAGTATTTCGGAAATGTCAAAAATTAAATGCAAACCAAAAGTACACTTATAAGAACACATGAACTTTGAAAAATGTTTCAAGCCTAATTCTTTTAGCTATAGAAAATTTATATTTAACAGCATAACTAGGGAAAAAAAAGGGTAGATGCATAACAGATAATCAATTTTTCTATACCATATGACATTTTAAAATGAAAGTTTTCCAAACCTGCTGAGGAGGAGGAGTGTGAAACCTGATAAAATGGAAATGATTAAGAATAAGACAGTTTTTCAAAAATATGTGGGTCTAATATGCTTCTACTTGAACTATTTCAAGTTATTAACATTTAACATGCTGTGATGAAGTTTTTTTGGTATTTGTGCTAACCATATTTACATATAAAATTGATTTAAAACTTTATAAAATTTTACTCTATATAAAAGAAAGAAATAAGCAAAAAAATTAGCTTTTCCTTTCATAAAAATTTAAAGAAATAATTTTAAAGACTTTACAAGCAAAGCTGTTTCAGTCGGTTTACCATAGCCTTCTGCATGTTTAAAATATTTTTTATGATTTCAGGGTTTAAAATTGACTTAAATTTATCTTAAATTTTTATAATATTCAACTGGAAATTCTCAAAAACATTTTATGGCATTTAATATGTCTCTTTTGTGTAGTTTTTAATGAAATAATTTACACACCATAAATAAATGATTGCTTTGAGTGAGCTTGAGATTCTTTTGTTATTTCAAACATAGGAACATTTGTAAACTGACAAGTTGGCTAAAGTAGTGTGCTCACAATATATAAAAAATTAGTAATATCCAATGAACCATAACTTTTGAACCATTTCAAATATTGAAAAAATTAAAAAATTACTGAAAGATTACAATGGGTTATGACTATAGCCATAATGGCCACCTTCAAATTTGGCCCATGTCTCCATGGACTCTCCGTTCAAACTTTCTCCGAATGTTACTGAATATGACGGGCACCTGAAGGAGGCCAAAGGATACAATGACTGAAACACTGTGACTAAAACACCAGTTCTAATAAATCAGTGAATAATAAGCTAAGTCTTAGAAAAAACAATGGTTTTATGGACTGGAGAAAGTGACATCAATTGTATAATTCTTATATACAATATAAAAAGCTCAAACACTAATATTCTATGGTTATAACTTATTACATTGGAATATCTTTTCTGTTTCCTTTTTGAATTTGTAGGTCGGATGAATTGGATCATGATTACGATTCCAATGTAATAGATTATAACCATGGAATATTAGTGTTTGAGCTTTTTATATTACATTCTTGCTCTGTCTTGTATATAGAGCTCTACCTGGAATTTATCCTCTTGGAAATATATATATTTCCAAGAGGATATATATATATATATATATATATATATATATATATATATATATATATATGTGTGTATATATGTATGTATATCTCCAAATGTAAAAGAACGAAAAAGGATATAAATTCAAACATTCATTTAAAAAGGGTTCAATAAGAGTAGAGCAATAAATATTTATTATAAACTGTTACATTGGAACATGCAAGTAGCTTGCATGTTTCAATGTAACAGTTTATAATATATATATATATATATATATATATATATACACACCATAACAGCATAGAAGTTTAACAGATCTTATAAATTGTGTCATTATCAAATAAGTTGCCCATAAGTGTTTAGAAATATCTGTTATAAAACATTGGTAGATTTAATTCTGCAATTGCCATGAAATTTTCCTCCTTTCAGCACAATGATCATATATGTTCGTACATTGAGTAGCATTACAATACATTGCTATACTTGCAACTTGTGTACCAAATGTAACGGATGTAAAAGTCCACACAAGAATCAAAGAAATCAATTTAAATTAGTGTAATGTATTCAAAAATAACCATATGTTTTTTTTTCTAAACCTCTCTTGAAGCATCAAGGGATACAGTCTGATGCCATTAGTTCTTAGAGACTATCTCATCTTCTACACAATTCTTTTGAAACTTGATTCATCTTTGCATACCTCTTGTTGGTGTGATAGAAGTGAATGGAAGCAGACCAAAACCATTTGTATTGTTATTCATTAGAGCTGTCTCCGATGATGACTGTTCTATTTCCTTATGTTGAAATTCTTCCTTCAAGGATAAGGGAAAATCTGGTCCAACATAATATTACCCTGCTTCCAATTCAGGCTGTTTATACTGATATTTATGCTTATAATGAAAAATATTTATACCAAGGAGGTCACTAAGGAAATCAAAATGTACTAACAGGGCCTAAAATTAACTGTGACAAATACATAAGTAGAGGTGTTGGGCATGTAGAGGAATCACATATTTCTAGATTCCTTCATTTGAATGAACCAACAACCAGTCACATGTGATCTTCAATGAATCTTTTTAAGAAAGACAGCTGTAGTGTGCTTTACTGACTATTCACTTCCTGATATTAACTAAACAGAGCTATGTACAAATTTGTAAGACTATAGGGCTTTTCTTTTATATGGTAGCTTATGAGATCTGTTCTCTCTGCCTATTCTGGAAACGAGAACAAACACTACTAAAATTTCTGAACTAGATGTTGACACACGACAGCAATGACAATGTTTGGAAAAATGTCACAACAAAAATATTACTTAGTTTGAGAAGCATGCATTCAATTCAGTTAGAGAAACCCACAAAAATTCCAAAACTATAATGTAAATCAAACAATTTATCAAATTCTAAAAAAAATTTTAATAATCGTTATAAACCTGGAAGTTTAGGTAGTTTAAAAAATAATCTAGTTCTACTCACCTTCATTATAAAATTATTTTTTTTATTTCAATTTATAAGTTTATTTATGTACGCTTGCTTTGTACCCTTTATTTCACTTTTTTTTTTTTTTTTTTTACCCAGTGTATGTTTTAGCGTAAATTGACATTTTCGACTTTAAAAATCTTTAATGGATTATATTATTGGTCTATTTGTTGACTGATACCATAACAGTTTATGATGCGAGAAATATATCACATCATCATTATGTTGTGATCAATTGATACGCTGATTAGGCATATGCTCCGTTAAACGAGGTATTTCTCGACAATTTTCTGAAAATTATCTGAAACAAACATCAAAATATAAACAAAATTAGTTATGCTTTTTTGTTTATATTTTGTTTTATTGAACACTTTCTTAATATTGCTCGGATGTATCTTAAATTTTCATTTCATCCTTTTACTACAAAAATGATTGTGTCAATTTTTATCGAAATCGAATAAAAATTAAAAAAAAACACTGAAATAGGTTTTTTTACTTTTAACTGCATCTTTGAAAATGTATCATTATATTTAGTGCAAAAATAAATGCTTCTTTTCAAAAGTAAAAAACGATTAAGACAATTTGGTAAAAAAAGTTAATGAGTGATTTCGACAAAAAATTAAATGATCGACCAAGATGGATATTATGAATTAAACATGATAAAAAAAAAAACAATCAAAATAAACTTGTGTTGTAACAGCATTTACAGAAAAAATAAAATGGTTAAAAATTGGCCAAAATTATTCTTTCAGACTTCACCATTTAAGATTTCAAAACTTTCTGAATAACGTTAAGAAATGCTAACAAAACGTGTTTCAACTTTTCTCACACCATCATTTGAATAAAATAATCTAAATTTTGATTACTAGTGTTTAGTGTTTATCTTATTTGATAGATTGAACTAAAATATAAATTTTTATAATTATGTGGATCTTTTTTTTTTATTTTTTATTCTGCTACTTTCACGCATACACTTCTTGGCCTCAGAAAATACAAATCATGGGAAAACTTTTTCACTTACCCGGTCGTAGGTAGATACCTGCTCGGCACTAACTTCTTCCTCATCCATAAAAAACTGAGCAGCAGTTGATCTTCTGTTGTCTCCAGCCATTGTAATGTTTCGGGCGTGAAGGCAAAATATTTTAAAAATTCAAACAAATCAAAAGTAAACTGAAAAACAAGCGGAACGTTACATCTGAACATTAAACAGCCGCCATTACACCGGCCTGTGTATAGTGGCGCCACCTACGGCTCTGCATGACCAGTGCTCTCCCTTCAACATAGTGAGTACATTTTCCCATTTTTCTTTTGTGTTTATCTTTCTTAGTCACCCTCAATCTCATCTGCATATTGGCAATTAATTTGAGATAATTTATAAGTTATTCCATTAAGGAATATTTAGCAAATAATTTTAAAAAATTAACAAAAAGTAATTTTTCATAATTTTTATACATTTTCACTGATTACTAAGATTATTTATCATAAAATTCATTGCCATTGTTAAATAAATTTTAATGCTATCAATTAATAAGTGACAAGAACTGTATCTTGTCTTGTTAAATTCGCTTTTAGCATAATAACAAAAGATACGTTAGAATTTTTATAAAGAGAGAAAACCCTGCTTACTCAAAATTAATTTTTTCTCCATTTTTTTACCTGGGATCAGCATATCAATCACATTGATTGATTTTTTTTTATGCATTATCAACCCTTTGTGGGTTATTTAAAGCTGAAGCATATTTTGGATTGTAAGAATAATTCTTTTTTTGTGAGTGAATATTGCATTAACATATTTTTGAAGATGATTTTTTTATAGATACAAGTTCTACTGTATTTACATTATTCGGACTATTGTCCTCATTTTTGTTGCCATATTTGTCACAACGTTTCGGCCGTTGTACACTCCAGCCTTCTTCAGGTGGTTGGAATTTCGAACTGAACCCTTTATTTCGATCACTGAGGTTCCACGTGCCATGTTTGATGGATGTCAGTAATCAGTTATCGCCTGCTAATTTTCCCTCTGAAAGTTCTCCACTGCCTTAACCGGGTATTGAACTCACACTCTTTGGGTCTGTCACTGGATCTAACCAACGCCTTTATCCACTGTGCCATGTGTCCTCAAGGACACATGGCACAGTGGATAAAGGAAATCTTGCATGCATTAATTTCAACTCTTTTTATTAATAACTGCAATTGTTTCTTTCCGGGTAAAATGACATCTGACTGTTCAAAGAAGACTTCAAAAGTAACTAGTAGTGACTTTTCTTGAAAATGGACAATATTTGGTATTGTGGTATTATCAAATACCAGCAGAAAAATGGGTTTAGCCCCAAGGACATTTATGCTGTCTACTCTAGGGAATGATGTTCCAGTTTTATCAACAGGGCAAAACTGAATTTAGGAGGAGAAGGGAGAGTCTTGAAGATGACCCAAGGTTTGGACACCATGTAACTGCCACCACTGAGGAAAACAGTGGTTGTATTGAATGGCTATAAATCTAATAGCTAATGCTATTAGCATATCCTGTGAGAGAGTTGAGAATATACAGTACAATGAACTTGATATGACAAAGGTTTCTGCTCAGTGGGTGCTGCCACCAGGCTGATCACATCACAGGGAAGTCTGACCTTGCTTGAGGTAGATCCAACTAGTTTCATTGAATGTTGAATTCATCACTTTGAGCCAGAGACAAAGAGAAAATCCATGCAGCGGAAATACCCCACCTCAACAGCAGTCAAGGTGATGGCCTCAGTATTTTGGGATGCAAGGAATTGTGTTTATTGATCATCTTCAAAAGGGCCATGTCATTAATGGAGACTACTATGCCAACTTATTGAGTCAGTTACTAAAGTCTATCAAGACCAAGGACTCAGAAAAACTGATAAAAGAGGTCTTGTTTCATCAGAACAATGCTCTAGCATACACGTCCTTAGTTTCAATGGCTGCTGTGAATGGCTGTGATTGGTCACCATCCCTATTCCTCTGATTTTACCCCATCTGACTATTATCTGTTCCCTAACATGAAAAAGCACTTGGCTGGGAAGCAGTATCACAGTGATGATGACATCATATCTGCTGGTGTTGACTTTTTTAACCAGCAGAATGAAAGTTTCTTCATCAGTGGTATCGAAGCATTGTAACACCAATGTGGATCGCAAGGGGGACTATGTTGAAAAATAACCCCATTTGGTCATATTACATGAGAGTATCTTCATCAGCTTATGAACCTTTCAGCCAACCCTTTTATTTAAGAAATAAATAATGAATGTAATTATTGGCTATCACAAAAATGTCAAACCATGAATTAATTTTTCTGTGGAAGGTATCACTTCATATGAATAATTAAAGGTGCTTTTACCTTAATTTAACCTTTTCAAAATTATATATAAAACACCTTATTCAGTATTATTCTTCAAAGCTTTGACAATTTAATCCTGTTTACGAAAATATCAGTAACACTTGGGAAGCATAAGAATTGATATTGTCATGTTCAAATGAACTGCATTCACAGCTAAGACATGGTATTAAATTATCCCCATTCCTATCATATACCTTCGGTAAGGAAGAAGTTCCACTTAAACAGCTTCTTCCTTCAGACTCCTGAGAGCATTCTTCCCCAACCATTACAATATTAACCTCTTCAAGTCTACTGATATCTATCCTACATATTTTCATAATATGCACCTCTCCTTCCTCTCTTGCACCTGTGCAACAATCTCATTCAGTAACCCTCTACCTTGAGTACCTCTTAGGTCTTGTATTGAGTAAACAATAGTACTGAAATAAATAAACACTTGTACTGAAATAAATAAAAAATAGTACTGAAATAATTAAACAATAGTACTGAAATAAATTCCTACAAATATATGCTGAAACATTTTGCAGAACATACATTTAATTTTTGTTTTTGTATTATTTCCCTCTGGTGAACTGATATTTCTGCTACAATTAAGGATTGTGGAGGTTTTACTTACTAACACAGTTTTGCTTATTTTTTTTGTAAATATATATATATATATATATATATATATATATATATATATATATATATATATATATACATAAATTCCCAAGAGGATAGAATCCAGGTAGAACTCAATGTCCAGTACAGAGTATGAATATAATATATAAAAGGTTTAAATGCTAATATTCCATGGTTATAATTTATTACATTAGAATCATAATCACAATCCAATTCATCAAACCTACAAATTCAAATTTTTTTTTAATTTGTAGGTCAATTTGGATCATGATTACAATTCCAATGTAATAAATTATAACCATGGAATATTAGTGTTTGAGCCTTTTATATTATATATATATATAGAGAGAGAGGTTACCAACTCATGTCTGAGTATGGCCATTACTACATATCTTTTTGGAAAAAATCTACTGATGTGCTGAAAAAATGTGGCTCTTTAGCCCAGCAAGGGACCTACATACTCTGGCACAAACAGAGCACTTAAGAGGTCCAACAGCAGGTCGTACATTATCATGCAATTTAAAATATTACATGGTCACATGAAACCGCTTCTGGACCAGCATGTCTTACCACAAATATCACATTTCAGTTACTGGATGTCTACAGTTTTATAGTCAATTGCCACCTTCTGCTGGTGTACTCTCAAGTGAATCCTTAGAACAGCCATCAACAAACACACTCTACCACAATTTACACATGTTAAATCGAGCTGCCTGCAGGTGTCTTCAAGAAGCTCATTGGAAATTCCTTTATGCACATCTCTTTTAAGCATTGTGTGCCCCTTTTTCCAATCTTCAAAGTGACACCTTCCACTACTAGCAGCCTCTTTCCAAATACTGCAATCAGAAATGAAAAGGCTTGAGAGATTCCACCAGTACTGCTTACATCATATCCTTAGCATTACCTGGCAAATGTCTGTTAGTGATGTAGAGGTGCTAGAAAGGAGCAAATGTAATAGTCACGAGTCCTTGATACTAAAACATCAACTTTGATGGGCAGGTCACCTCGTCAGAATGGATGACAGTCACATTCCAAAGCAATTGTTTTATGTTGAGCTGCAGACAAGGAAGATAAATAACGTCAAACCTAAAATGCACTTCAAGGGCTGCATCAAAGATGTGCTAAGGAAATGCAAGATTCCTTGTGAGCACTGGAAAAATGTGCATCTGATATATATACATATATGTGTGTGTGTGTATATATATATATATATATATATATATATATATATATATATATATATATTCACATTGTAAATATAGATTAGGGAAAGATTTTTTTTTAAATTGTGATTTAACCCCTCCCCATACAAACAAAACTGTACATATGATGACTAGTTATAGAAAAATTGTGGTATTTTGGTAACTGTAGTAAAGACTGGTAGTCAAAAATGTGATGTTTTGGTGAATGGAACATTATCAAACAAGTGAGTCAGTGATTGTGTCTAGCTAAGTTAAATATAAGACAGATGAAGAATAACCTCACCCTTCCCATAATTTCACCCTTGTGCCATATTTTATGTAAATCCTAAGCTGAATGAAGCTTTTTAAGCTATTCTATTCTTCCCTGTCTTGTTACATTTTATTCAATTTAGATGAATCAGTATGGGATACCTTATGTGCCGGCAATGATTCAACATTGATCCTGATTCTGATATTGCTGGTAAACATTGGAAACACTAGCAAGTGACATTTGAATTTTGTTCAGATTTTATATACAGAAAACCTGAACAAATTGATAAACCAGCTCAAACTTTTAACAAATTGTGTATCACAAACAATACACAAATTTATTGCTGGCTGTTCTTCCTATAAATATATATATATTATACCTTTAAATTCCTTGGGGAACATAGGGCCACAAAATATTGTTGTGGTTTCTGTAACAAGCCAATTTTTAAGTGAGTAGGTTGTTAGCCTACTGCCCAACCCTCAACCTATAAAGAGGTTATCAAATTGCTACAAGCTACCCACTGAAAGCCTAAAAATGAAATATATACCTGAGATTTACTGGTAATACAATGGCAATAAAATGATGAATCCCTGGGACACTATCTGAAAGAAAGGATTAAGCAAAGACTGCAGCCTATGACTGCCAAAGAAACTCAAGATGAGTGTTTAGTAATAATA